AAAACAACTTCCAAAACAAAGTTTGCCTTCTTCTAAAGATGCAATTGACAAACAGCTGAGACTTTTAAAGGTAATTTCTGGTGCTTAATATTTTGATATAAATAATTTATGCATGTAATTCTTCCTTGAAATGGAATAAACTCTTGTTTTAAATCAAAGCCTTTTCTTTTAATTTTTGTTACAGTTTTATCCAAATTGTATGTTCTTTACACAGGAAATTCAAGAAGAAATGCTCGAAAAACAATCTGAAATAGACAATCTGAAAACTAAAGTTAAGGAACTAGTTAACAAGAAAAATGTTACCAAGGGCTCATCAGAACTTCAAACCGAATGTGAAAAATTAGGCATGTTTATATTTTCCAGTCACTAATGATGTCTTAATTTTATTAATTATTTGTTTATAGTTTTATCTTTGCTGAGCATTTTAATACATAAGATAAATTTTGAAAAATTGTGAGATGTCATGTATTAGTTATGCTTCTTTTACAATTCTTTTTTCATTATTCTGTTATCTATCTTTTTATGCTAATAACACTTTGAATTTATGTCCAGTATGTTTTGGCATTCTCACAAAGGAATACATTTTTCTCTCTTTTATGTCATGCTCTCTAATGCTATGTTTTGTTTACTTTTAAACTCAATTAAAATTTATATAACACACAGAAATATTGTCATGTATGCATTTTTCATTCCTTTTATTGCCATATTTACTTAGTACTTTTGTCAAGTGACAAAAGTTTATAAGCTTAAACAGTTTAACTTCTAAAATCTTTTTTTTCCCCCATCAGAAAAAAGATGGATTGATCTTTTAGTTGGTGTTAAAAACCACCTCGGCTTCTTGCATAATTTAAAAGAATTTCAAGAATCTCAACTCCTTTTACAAAACTGGTTGGTACAGAAAAAAAAGATGTTCTCTGTTCTTGGACCAATTGCATCTGATCCACGTTTAGTTTCCTCACAAGTTCAACAAGTTCAGGTTTATATCTGTATTTTAACATATTAAATTAGCATATGTATTTGTACTGTATAATTATGTATATACTTTGTGTGCAAGATTGTAACTTTTAATCCATTGTATAGGTTATGAGAGATGAATTCACATCTCAAAAAGATTTCATGGAACGCCTAAATGAATTAGCAAAGGTTGTTTGCCAATATTTGCAAACATCAGGATCAAGCTCCCTAAAAATTACAGAGCAAATGGATGTCATCCATCATCACTGGGAGGATCTGTCTAGTAAATTGATTGAAAGAGAAAAAAATTTAGAAGCTGCAAGTGGCATGGCTAAAGATTTTCACAAAACTTTGACTGATTTACAAGTAAAATTGCAGCAAATAAGTGATACATTTGACAGTTTTAATGATAAAGGTTTTAGTCATGAAGTACTATTAAAGAAATTAATGGCAAGTATTATTTTAGTTTGCCAGTTAAAATTATCTTAAATTGTTAATTTTTCTATTAATAAATGGAGAATATATAAGAAAAAGAAAAAAAGCATTTACCATTCAGATAATCAATTTCTGTTTTAACAAATACTTCTCATTTAACTTGTGAAGTATTTTTTCTGACACAAGTACCAGAGCTACAATAATATTTTTATTTTTTCATTTCTAATAAAACTCTTTTTTTTTTTTTTTTTTTTCTTACAAAAATTTCAAATATTTGTCATAAGCTATGTTTTGTTTAAAGTAAATTTATATGTGTCTATTCACATAAAACTTATAGTTTGCAAATGTAATTTTAGCTTTATCCTCCCTGCTGAGTTTTCTAAATAACCTGTTAACATATTTTTTATTTGTCACTCTTACATTGCATTTTTCTCCCAAAGGCTTTAGAAGAAGATTTAGAAAAACAAAGAACTCATCTTACAGATGCTGATAGTGTTTGTGAACAGCTTTGCGATGTATTAAGTGATTCTGCTTCAAAAACTGATATTAAGTACAAAGTTAGCATTCTGGAGAAGATGTATAGCACGTTAAGGAAAAAAATTGGTAAATTTTTTTTTAAATTCTTACCTCAGAGAACATAAAAAGTGCTTTAAATTAATGAAAATATTGAAATTATGTGATTAAATGTTGGTTTTATTTACAAACGATATTTTCCAGTGCTGAGATATTTAAACAATAGGGCAAGTGTATTGAGAGGTGAAGTCTGACATGAGGGAACTAAACCCAAACTCAACTAATTTCAAACCTCAGCGTTTTTCCCGTTCATCTTGTAACACATGTCCATATGAATGGATCATTAAATTACATAATTTTCCAAAAGTCTGTAATTTTAAATCTTAATAATACCTCAAGGTTAAATGGTAATTTATTTTTAGTCTGATAATGAAAACATAATTAAGTATTTCCATAGATACAATGTTAAAATTGTGATGAAGATGATGTGGTTATACTAGGTAATTTTCACCAAAAAAATAAAAACCATATTCATTCATGCACACACACACACACACACACACACACACAAAGCTGAATATGAATAGAGTTAAAATTTAGGACAAATATGAAGATTCTGTAGATTTTATTAATACTCATAAATATATAGTTTTCTTCATAATTATGATATTAAATAGCTTTCTTGTGATGTTAGTTTCTATGAGATTTCATACTGGTGTTTAAACTGTATCATTTTTATTTGTTATTGGATAAGTGTTAAATGATGATTTCGAGATCTACAAAGACATAATTTATTCTACATTGCTACTCCAATATTCTGTATAACAGTTATGGTTAATAATAATAATATAGTTATAGTTACATATATAACATCTCCCTTTTTTAACAGAAATAATAAAGATAAAAAGTTAGACATATCATTTAAATAATGAGGTTTTTTAAGAGTCCTATAAGATCTAGTAACAGAGTTATGTCCGTTAGCAAAATTTGGTAATACAATACCTCTTTCAGTATGACTTTCATTTTCATACTTGTTTTGCATTGGAAACTCTTTCTTATTAGTTCCTTTAAGAATGGCTCTTCTATTCCATTCTACAATTCTTCCATCTGTTCTTATAATCCTGTATGAATGTAGTCTTTCTGCTTCTTTGATAATTTTCCCACTTTCTTTTAGTTTTTTCCTTTCTCTTTTATGTGCACGTAATCTCATACCTTCAGTGGTTTTAGTGGTCTTGCATTCCTATCATAATAGCTTTTTTGTAAGGTTTGTCTGTTCAGTAAATGTTGTTTATGCTCTTCATATCGTTTAGTTTGGATGAAATTCTCTTTTATAGGCATCAGTCCATTCAACTTTCTTCCTAACATCAATTCTGAAAGTGACTTAATTTCAGCTGAAATAGGATAGTTAAAATATTCCAGTAATACTAAATATGGATCCTTATTGTTAACTACAGCTTTTCCTAACATTCGCTTGACAGTTTGAACATGGCTTTCAAACATTCCATTTGATTGTGGGTCATTTGGACTTGAAGTTCTGGTTTCAAAATTCCATCTCCTTGCAAATTCTTTAAATTTCTTGTAACTATATTGCAGACCATTATCCGAATATACTGTTTTCGGAATACCATACCTTGCAAAATATTATTTCAATTGCTTTATCTCTGCTACACTCGACAAATCTTCAAATGTCCAATTTCAACATATTTGCCAAAATAATCTACCTATAACTATTAGAAAATCCTTGCCTTCAAAGTAAAAGAGATCAGTTTTAAATACTTCCCATGGGCCATTAGGTACTTCTTTATATATCATTGGTTCTTTAGTATTAGCTAGTATTTAGATTCGTAAATCTTCCAGATGGACCAAATCTTCCAGTACCAAATCTTCAATTCCTCTCAAGATTCCTAGCCAATATATTTCTCTTGCTTTGTTCTTGCATTTTACACTCCTAAATTACTATGATGAATTCTACTTAACTTATCTTTTTGTAAACTTCTTGGTACAACAACTCAGGAATTTTTAAATATTAATCCCTTTGCTTCTGATAGTTCTTCTCTGAAATTAAAATATGGTTTTGCCAGTTCTGGAATCATACATTTTTCACCAGCCATTCAGTTTTAATTAATTTTCTTAAAACTTGTAGTTCTTCATCTTTATCTGTTTCCAGTTGAAAAATTTCCCTTTTTTCTTTAGACATTGGTATGCATTCTACAACCAAGCCATCATGAGCTTCTATGTTTCCTTCAAAGAAATCAGATTCTTTATCAGTGATTTATCTTGATAATGCATCTACTATAAAAAGTTCTTTTCCTGGTTTATATTTTATCTCAAACTGTAATCTTATACACATTCTTTGTAATCTTACTGGGCATTTAGTTAATGGCTTTTCAAAAATTGATTCCAATGGTTTATGGTCACTTTCCACTGTAATATACTTTCCAAATATATACTGGTTAAATTTCTCACATGCAAATACAATGCCTAGTTTCCTTTTCAGTTTGAGCATAATTCTTCTGTGTATCTGTTAATGCCTTAGATGCATATGCTTCTGGTAAATTATTCTGCAGTAAGACTGCTCCCAGTTCCTCTTGAGATGCATCTACAGATAAAACTACTGGCATGTTTACATCATAATACTGTAAAACTGGTTTATTTACTAAAACATCTTTTAGTCTTCTAAATGCTTTTTGATGTACTGCATTCCAGTTCCAGATAACTTGTTTTTTCAACAAATCTCTTAAACAAAGCAAATCTTATTATAAGCAGGACAAATGTGTAACGTATGAAAAGTTATACATTTGCTACATGGTTTTGGATTATTGTGCTTATTTCCTTGATAGTTTAAAGATGAGTTAATATTTTGTTACTCTTGTTTTACATGGTATTTTTTTTTTCTTACATGGCTGTCTTTTTTCCTCTTAAGCCAGAATTTTATTCCGCTTGATCACTTCTGTTTTATACTCTTCAGTTAAAGTTGTCAGCTGAAGTTTTAACCTATCTAAGATTTTTATTTAATATTCCACTTACTATCTCTAATTAAACTATTTTTTCATTCTGAAAATCCACAGTTACTAAATTTCTTTTAAGTTTGTTAAAGAATCATCAAACAATTCACCTACATCATATGTTCAACAGAAAAAAAAGTCTATCAACACTTTCGTTTGCTTTGGGTGTGCAATAATTTTTGAAAGCTTCAGATACTTTGTCAACATCCTTCTTATCTTCTTAACTTAAAAGCATTAAACTTTTCAAGTGCTTCTTCATCAAAAATATGCAATATGCATTAAAATAGCTACTGTAATTGCAGGTGATATAATAATACCATCTAAACCTGTAAATCTGGAATTTTTGTTTCCACGTCTTCCAATTTTCGCTTAAATTACGTTCAAATTTTAGATTATTTGGTGGCTTTAATCCATCCGTATTTAATTTAATAGACTTTAAATAGTTTATATATGTATTTTTAGCCACTTCAAATAAAAATAAACAATGCACTTATCAGGAATGAAAGTTTGAATTTCACTGTAAACAACTTCCCATCATGTTTCAAAGTTTGGAAAATCTTTAAGGTTATTCACAAGTAATGCTGCATGGTTCTTTAAAAAAAGATTTTCTTTTTTTAACATACCATCGACTGCACCATTTATAATTTTTATATGTTATGGATAAGTGCTAAATTATGATTTCAAGATCTACAATGGAATACGAATCATCACTTAGTGATTGGTTACCTACCACGAAACTGGTATTTTCCAATAAATCAAGTTTGCACCTAGGCCTTTCACGGTATTTTGAAAAATAAACGGGTGCTACTTAGCACTACCGCCCACAGGCGAGAAAAATTTAGAAGGTGGCAAAGCAGGATAGACTTCACTTTCAGTAGACTCTTCTTCACTATCTTCAAACACTTTGATTCGACTTAGCCAATCACGTGGGAGGTCAACCTTCCAAGAACTGACCCTGCGATCGACTGCTGGAAGCAGGGGGGAACCTGTGAGAAAAAAGAAATTTTTGAAAATGAATTAATTCCTTGATATCTTCTGTTCATAGGGGACAAGTAAATATAGTCCTCCGTTTCTGCAAATTTCATATGTACATAGCGGCTTTAAAGCTGACAGATAGTTTCTCAGCTGTAGTTTTTGCTTTCCTAATTTTCCTCCTGAAAAGAAACTTGTATCAGGTTTCCTTCTTGGTTACTTTTAATTGTTTTTTTTTTTTTTTTTTTTCATTCCAGCTTTGATAAGCCCACCAGCAGCCGAGTGGTAAAGACGCTGAACACTGGTAGTTCGGTCCAAGGTTCGAATCCCGCGAACAGGCTGGCTGCATGGGCGTTTTCATGGTTTTCCCCATGTGTAACGTGTATATGAGCCAGTTTCCCTTAGAAAGTCCTCGATGAAGGCATCCCTCCCCTTAGGCAGATAGCTCTAGTGTGCTTTGCCATTATTAAATAATCTAATCCAATCCAGCTTTGATAAAATTTCACCTTTCATATAATTTCAAAGCTGTTATAGTTTTTTACTAGGATGACTAGGATGATCATCTTCAATTTCTTCAGGAGTGCTTTAATTCTGCAATTCCTGAAGGATAGTAAAACAGTGCTTTCTTTTCTTTATACATGTAAAACATCCCTTTTAATGTACAGAAATTACTTTACTGTTTTGAATAGGGGATGTGAGCTGAGATATTACTTTTTAATAAATCCTGCTGTTTCAACTAGTCAAGACTGTTATTTGTGTTTAACATTGTTTACCTTGTTAGCTATCTCTGAGTGTTACCTGCATTATTCTTTCAGAATTCTGAATTTTTAGTATCTTTAAATAATCTTAGTAATGATCTTATAAATGTTTCTGTACATATATTACAAAACTCGAAAAATATCTTTTGGAAAGGGAAAATGTGCAAAATTTCTTAGTTAACTTTTTAAACAAATACATGATTTATCTGTTTTCTTCATTCTAAATTTACATGAAGTTTTCTAATTAAAATCACATTTTTGAAACACCGATTTCATGTTTTAAACAAGTAAATTTATCTTTAGTAATTAAATAAACAATTTCTTACTCATTTATTTAAATTTTTCTTGACACAGTTTTTGTAATGGATTTTATTCCCTGACAGTATTCTGTAAATAGATGAACTGAAATCTCAAGTCTTAATCTTGTTTTGTTCCTCAAATTGTTTTTCTTACTTATCAATAATTTTAGAATAACATTAGAAAATGCGTGAACTAGATTAGACTGATACATATTTAAGGCTGTTTAATTCGTACTGTTAACAGTTCTGTAGTAATATATTTAATTGTTACATGCTTAGCATATGCATGATGTAATAATACTTTTTAGAGATCAATGGAACTGTTACCATACTACTTAATAAATACCTATAGGTTCGGAATCCACATCTTCTAAGTGTGTAGTGTGGCATCTTCAGCATTGTATTCTTTTCCAGATTTGTGCAAGTGATTTCTTTAAATTTATCCATTTAGTCTTCTGATTTATTTATTATTTTTTTTAATCTTCACACTTCCCCCAAAAGCATTCTGAAAACTCAGAACATTTGCTTAGTGTATTGAGAAATTTGAAAAAATAAAATTAATATACTCTGAATTTAAATTCCTATCTCTTAAAATTACTTGTGCATTGGCAAGTATTTGTCTAAATAATATGCTGCATGAAAAAAGGAAGCTACAAACTTCTGATTTCTGAAGCACAAACCAAATACCCATTCTTTTCATATAGCTGATGATAGTTAGTTTACATTTGGAATTTAATTATTGCCTTATTTCTTGCTTTCATCTTTTATATTAGAAATCCTGAATTGTATCAATAGTATATTTCATATTTTTAGAATTATAGTAGTAGAAAATAAATTTTAATTCTTTGGTAAATTTTTAATTTAAAAATTTGAATGTTTCATTTATAGACATTAAAAGAGCAGAAACTGAGTCATCTCTCAAGGAAGATAAATTGTTTTATAAATCTTGTGAAGAAATACAGAGCTGGCTGAAAGAAATGGAATCATCATGTGCTCAGCATAAACCTCTGTCTACAGATATTCAAAAGCTGTTTAAGATGTCTGAAGAATATGAGGTTGACTATAAATTAAAGACATTTATTTTCAATAGATGAAATTCTTAAATAAAATCTGTTATTTTTATTTTAAGTTCTGAATTTACTTAAAAAGGAAATAAGACTTTTCCTCTTTAACTTAGAAAAGTATTTGTTACAAAAATTTTAAATTTTCATACATTTGTAACTGGCATAAAATATACTGCATACTCTAGTTGTTCTTAGCTGATCGTGGAGACTAAATATGCTTTGTCTATGTACAAAATGTGACAAAATTTTATTCATTATATTTGCAAGAGCCAACTTGAAATCTATAATCAAAACAAATCTTTTTTATTGTATTGCTGGAAATGAAAGACAAGTGCAGAAAAGACTCAATATATTTTGAAAGGAAAATCACCTATGTTTTTCTTCAGGATCAAACCATTTTGCTAATCTTGCCTTTAGGCAGAATAATTTTTTTTCTCTTGAACAGAAGATGTTCCTATTTTTGTCTTTCAAACTGTTCAATTCACTCAAAATGAATTCTAAATAAATATTTAGTTTTCTTAATTATTATTATACTTTTTTATTTTAACTATAATAAACATCTGAAACTTGTGCATTTGTCTTTATAGTTATGGATTGCTGTGCTTTAATGCACTCTTCATATGGCCCTCATTAAAATTTATTTCATAAAAATTGTCTTTGGTATCATACTGAAATTTCTGTTTTCTTTCAGCAATTATACAAGCAAATTATGGGTCGAGAACATGAAGTTCATTTGTGCTTGAGCAAAGGAACTGAGATTTTACCAAAACTTACTGGTAAACCAGAAACAACTTCACTGAAGACTAGGTTAGAAAACATTAAGAAGCAATGGGAAAAACTAAAAAAGACTGCTATTGATAGGTATATTTGTGAAAATATATTTTATTTGTTTAAAAAATTAGTAAATAGCTATGTCATATTAAGTGTGTATATATTATACTTTCTCTGTAGTCTTTTGTTCTGTATTCTTCAAAGTATTAATACTTATATTTTTTTCCCCACAAAGCTTTTTTGGCTTTGAATTGGAAACTTCTGATTTATAGGTAACTGTGCAAAATGTATTTACTGATAGGAAAGTGCTTTCTGCTGGTAAAATTTTTTTTGAAATTAATAATTTTGTCTGACTTCTTAGAAATACAGAATATAATAATATTACTACATCTGTTCACAAAAATTTTTAAATTAGCTGTTCTTCATGTAAGAAATGGGCTGGTTGCATGGTCCTTTCTTGGTTTTCCCCATGTGAAGCGTGTATACAAGCCACTTTTCCTTAGAAAGAACTTCATGAAGACATCCCTCCTCTGAGGCATATAGCCCATGAGTGATTTTTCATAATCAAAACAAAGCAAACCAACAGAAACCAAACTTTATTGAGAAGCGAAGACAAGATAAAGAAACCAATCTTTATCTCGTCTTCTCTTCAGAAATCAAACATATCATCTGATTTTCCCCTCTCGAATTTCAAGAGGTAAAATTATAAAAAGGAGGGGAAATATTCACGTAAATAAAGAATTCATTTTTAGTATCTCTTCAGCTCTATAGAAACATTACATTAATAATGTGTAAAATGTATTTTAATGCATTCTAGAACCAAAACTAATGCGTTCTAGAACCAAAACTAGATTTGTCACTCACATTAGCAAGGTTTCACAAGTTTCATGAACTTTGAATAATTTGAAATGCAGTTTTCATGTAAATTACCAGTACCTAGTGCAAAGCTAATCTGCTAATCTGAAAGCACAAATGTTACAAGCACTGTACATGCATCAAAATTGCGTAAAAAATTTTTAATACGTAAAAACAATAAGGTTATCTTTAAGATCTGTATTTGTTTTGTTTTGTAGATTGTTTATTAACCTGCTTGTTTATTTTTATTTACTAAATCTCATAATTAATTCTTTAAAACTGAAGAAAAGACCAAAATGGTGAATGCTTTGCATTGTCTTTCAAGCACAGCAGGAATATCTGTATGACAGCACAATCACAGATTATTCTTTATTCTTCCATAAAACTCAGCAAGCAATATCCATACTTTAAAAAAAAGTAAAAATGTAGAGAAAAAAGGGAAAGCAGTTATGTGATTACAAAGCAATTAAGTGATCTTTGTCAAACAAGCATTTACATTAAAGCAAATAAAACAAAACTAAACATTCCAGTGTTCTACATTCGAATAAAAGCTGTTCAGCATGAAGAAATAGTGAACAGAAATTTTGCATTAAAGAAAATAAAACAGCAATAAATATCCAAATGTGTTTTGTGCACCAATTGTAAAACAATGCTGAGTGCAGAGAATAGGAGTAAATCTGTCACTCCATTATTCATTATCTAAAACCTGAAATGGCTTATTTATTTATACATAAGTTTCATATTTTTCTTGAATTAGCATATTGTTTTACTAAGAATTTTTTTTTCTTCTATTCCAAAATCAGTATTATCCCATTGATATTCTTCTAAAATCGTGGAAATAATATATTATTGGAAATATTGCTATCCTGTAAGGTGTATTCTTTGCACCTAGCAGACGTTGTATGTATGCTTGAAACTGCTAAAAATATGTGTAAAACTTAATTTTCAATTTAACATCATTAAATTTGTGTTCAGGCTTTAAATTATGTTGTTATCGTGTTTTCAGGCATACTTGTCTTCAGAGTTGTATTGAAAATAGTAAAAAGTACCATGCTGCAACAGAAAAGTTTACACCATGGTTAAACAGTGAGGAAGAAAAGTTTAAATCTCGGAAGCCTGCAGCTTTGAAACGGGAAAAATTGAATAAAGAGTTGAAAGAGACTCAGGTATAGTTATACATTTTCTAATGCATTTTTAAGATTTAAGTCTCATTTAATTAGTTAATGTATTAAAATTCTAATATGTTCAAACTTCCCTATATGAAACTTGGCTTATAAAAAAAACCCAGATATAATGAACAAATATTCTGGCCCCCGTCCAGTTCCATGCATATGTAATGTTATTTTATAGAGCTACATAGGTTATTCAGAAAGTAAGATATGATTTCTTATAAAAGATAAACTATCACAGTTTTTTAAACCTTTCTTGATTTTATTCATTAAATGGTTCTCTATTTTCTTACATAATTACCAAATTTGTTTAAACATTTGTCATAATGTTCTACCAGCTTTTGTATGCTGGTAGTGTGTATGCTGGTTTGTATGCTGGTCATGGATGTCTGCGACTTGTGAGGATAACCAGTCTTGTACTTTTCAACTCGTCATCTGTAGTGAAGCACTTGCTGCTGAGAAACTCTTTTATATAGCAGAACAAGTGAAAAATCACTCGCCACCAAGTCTGCACTGCACAGTGTGTGTTCAGTCTGTTCCTATGATGAGAATTTTGGTGTGAATGGCAGAATGAGGTTTGGCTTTCTCATGCAGCTGCAAAAACTCTGGGCATCAGAAGATTCTGTATTGCATGTCTAAGTTAAGTTGGGAGTAGCACAGTAAGCAGCTGCATTTATTGTTGTCCTTTGCTCCATAAACTTGACTAACAAGGCTCCATGTCTATCCCAAAAAAATTTTGCCATAACCTTGCATTTTGAGGTTGTCTGGTTGGTCTTAACTGTGACTGGTGAAGCTGGGTGACGCCATTCCGTTGACTAATGTTTAGACTCTGGGGCCATGTGAGAAACCCACGTCTCATTTGCTGTGATAATCCTCTCTAAAAATTTATCACTTCCTTATATCAATCTAAAAAAATCAAGAAAACAAGCCATTGTTTTCATTTGCTAGTCTGGGGAACTCAATGAAATTGCAATTTTTTAGAGACAATTTCATGCAGAGTTGTTCTACCCACATTAAAAATTCTAGTGCTATAGCTGAAATTTTTAATTTCCTATCTTCATGAATCTTTGCATTGATAAAATCATCTGTGATCACTGATGTCCAACCTGGTTGTATTTCATCATGGACATTTTCCCATCCATCCTTGAAAGCTTTTACCTACTTAACACTCTGCTGTCACTCATCACATTGGGGGACATACATGTTGCTTATCTGTTAATGAATTTCTGCTGCTGAAATGCTCCTTGTTGTCAAAAACCAAATTATTGACCATATTTCACAGTCAGCTGTTTTAGCAATTGTTTTTAGCATTTTGAACTGAATTTGTACATAGCACACTGCAACAATACAAATGCAAGTGACTTTGTTTGATGAGCAAGGTATGGTGGGAGTCAGCAGGCATGCGTGTTTCAGTGTTTATGTGATATTCGATTGGCTGCAGTGATTCAGAACTTTGTTTCTGAATAAAGCTCAGATAGTGAACTTTGAAGTGCATAAAAATTGGATAAAATGAATTTTAAGGATATCTTCAACTGAAAAGTATCCTGTATTTTTCCTCTTTTTTTTTTTTTTTTTTTTTTTTTTCATTTTTTTAACTGAAAAATTATTCATTCTTAAAATCGTGTGATTGGGATGTTAAACCCTTATCAAACCTATCAACTCAGAAATCAGTGAGGAACTTTTCTGAGAAGCATGTTTCTCCTAGAAGTATAAAGGAAAACCTCCTGCTGATTGGTTCCTCTCCTTTCTCTCCTGCACAAAACAGCTGCCAGTGCAATTCTTAATTGTCATAAAATATTGCAGGTATGCATGTACAACAGATCACTAAGCATGACTGTTTCAGCTATAAATCACTTGTTGTTAAATAAATCGATGTCATATGAAGAAGCAAGTCGAAAAATAAGAAACGTATCTTTTCACATTTTTTATTGAAACTTAACAACACGTGCACAACATTACATCGGCATCCATAGCTCACACACAGAGAAGAGAGAACTTGGTGTTGCCAGTACGGTAAATATAAATGTACCAAACTAACACGCCTCCTTACATTTATATTTACTAATTACAAACAAACATAGATATAAGCAATCTTTTCACCTTTACCATTTACAATTAAGCATAGATATAAACAATAACATTCAACACTTAACACAAATTATTTTTAAAAAAGTTTCTTTCATTAACTTAAATGTTAAAATCAAAGTTAAACACAATTTAGTTTACATAAGGACATTACCAAAATCTATTTCATTTCAAGCAAATATATTTAAATAAACATCACTTAAATAAACAGTATACAAAATTTATTTCAATTTCAAACCTTCTCTGAAATTTCATAAATTTAATCTTTCCTAAAGACTTAGTAAAGATATCTGCAATATTTGATTCTGAATCAATCTTTACAATTTCAAATTACTCCATTTTGAACATTTTCGTGAACATAATGATATTGAACTTCTATGTGTTTTTGAATTTTTAGTGAAGTTTCCCATAATTAGCAATGGCCAAAGCTCCTGAATTATCTTCATAAATTTTAATGGGGTGAGTTATATCAGCAAAAACATCATTCACAACATTTTTCAAGAAATTAATTTCTGTCACAGCCTCAGATAGAGCAATATATTCGGCAAAAGTGGAAGATTTTGTCACACAATTTTGCTTTTTGGATTTCCAGTAAATTGGATTACCAAATAATTCAATAACAAACCCAGTAGTTGACTTTTCTGTCAACAATATCACCTGCCCAATCAGCATCAACATAACAATTCATAATATCAGCAGTTTTAAGATTTTTACTATAGAACTGTTAATTTTAGATTAATTTTAGTTTTGTTAAGTACAAATACTTTAAAACTCTCAAAGCATATTTGAAATGTGTCTCATCATAACAATTTTGAAATCTACTTAAATAATTTACGCTGAAAGATATGTCTGGTCTAGTACCATGACTAATATACAAGAGTGCTCCTATTAGATTTCTATATTTGAACATTTTGATTTAAATTAGATTGGCTTAGTTTAAGATTAGTCTCCATTGGTGTATCATAAAGCTTTGAATTTTTAATACCATACAGTTTAGCTAAAGATTCAATATAATTTTCCTGACTCAGTGTTAAGATATTACTTTTCTCATTATCATATTCAATATCAATTCCAATGTAGCTTTTTACTTTATTTAAATCCTTCATTTTAAATTTTTTATGTAGTTGTTCCTTAATATCATTAATTACCCGAGTATCTCTGCAACATATCAACAAATCATCAACAAATAAAAGAATATATACAAATACATCATTTTCAGATTTTACATAAAGACAATAATCATATTTACTTCTATGAAATCCTAGACTCTCAATATACTCGTTAAAGCACTCATACCAAGCACGAGGGCTTTCTTTCAACCCATATAGTGCTTTCTTTAATTTATACACTCTATTCGAATTATCATTATAGCCTTGTGGTTGTTTAACATAAACCTCAGACACAACATAACCATTTAAAAAGGCAGTCTCAACATCCATTTGATGAATATTTAAATTATACTGACAAGGAATATGAAAGTAACAATTTTAAGGTTTGCATCTTGAATGACAGGGGAGTAAGTATCCTCAATACTATCTTTTTGCTGGAAACCTCGAACCACTAATAAAACCTTGAACCATTAATAAAACATTACACTTTAAAAACATTACCTGGTTTTCTTTTGAATACCCCACTTCACATCTAGAATTGCTTTATCCTCTGGTTTAGTCACTAGTGTCCAGGTGTCGTTTTTAACAAGACTGCTCATTTCACTGTCCATTGCCTCTTTCCAATGTCCAGCCTCGCTGCATGTTGTCGCCTCTTTAAAGTTACCTGGAACTCTAGCATCACAAAAATTTGCACTAACACAATAGTACCCTAATTCTTCATGAAATCGAACTGGTGGAGTGATTTGCCTTCTTGTTCTCATTCCACTTTTTGTTTCATCTTCATTTATCACACTGTCCTTGGAGTTATCATTACTCGATTCACACGACACTTCTTGAGGTTCATTCTTCTTATTTGTATCATCATTCTTATCTTCATCATCACAACCTACACACATTATGTCTTCTTCAATAATATCAACATGTCTGGCAACTATTATTCTGTTATTCATCAAAACTCTATATCCAACTTCTGTATACCCAAGTAAAATTCCAAATTCAGCCTTTTTATCCCACTTTGACTTTCTCTTTTCTTCTGGTATTCTTACATACACTCTACTTCCGTATAATTTCAATTCATTAGCAGATGGTTTCCTATTGAAAAATATTTCATATGGTGTCTTCTTTACAATAGTATTTGTTAATGTCCTGTTTTTCAAATAAGCAGCAGCTTTAATTACTTCAGGCCAGTAACGTCTGTCAACTTTTGCTTCGGCTAAAAGACATCTTGCCATATCCATTATAGTTCTGTTGTAACGCTCAGCAGTACCATTTAATTCGTGTACATATGGTGGGCATGACTTTATCTTGAAACCTTTTTTCTCTTGCAAATTTGTATATCTTGCTATTCATATATTCACTACCATTATCACATCTTAGTTCTTTGATAGTCTTCCCTGTTAAATTTTGAATTTCATTTACATATTCAATTAAGCAATCAGAGACTTGATCCTTAGATTTGATACAATAAATTTTTGCCAACTTGCTATAATCATCAATAAAACTCACAAAGTATTTCTCACCATTACATCCAATTGTTCTGTGAGGTCCATTTACATCTGTATGTATAATCTCCAGAATATCTTCTGCTTTTCTTCTATTATTCTTGAATGGTAAATTGTGCATTTTATTTTCAATACATATGGCACACTTCATATATTCGGTTTCTATTTCTTTAGGGATTCCTTCTAATAGCTGATCTTTTGCACATAATATCCAGATATTTAAAATTTACATGTCCAAATGAACGGTGCAATTTTTCTTTTAACGTTAACTTATTGTTGGTCAAATTTGCAAATATTTTACTATTTTTAACATAAACTCTTTACTTTATATAATCTTTCTTCTTTCTTTGCTACTGCTACTAATGAACCATTGACATCATATATTTTAGAAAACGTTTCTTTTGAAACTATTTTATGATTATCAGTAATCTTCGAATAACTTAATAAATTTGCTTTCATTTCTTTTACATAAAATACATTCTTCAATGTTTCAATAGATTCAGAGTTTTATACAGGAAAAGAAACTATTATATTGCCAACTTTGTAGCTTTCAAAATCCTTCCGTCACCGACTTTCACTTGAATAGGATCCTTCAAAGTGACTTGCTCTTTGAAATATTCATCACTGTTTATAATGTGGTCTGTGCATCCGCTATCCAGTAACCAATTGATTTCATTTTTATTTGTCACAATATTTGCACAGGAACTTGTCATGTTACTTTCGATAACAGTGGTGTGAAAACTATTGCCTTGATGAACTGTTTATTCTCTGGTTAGAGTATGCTTCCACGTTCACGATGTCCACTAAAAGCACGACTACGTCCCCGATTGTTTGAAGAACTTCGACCACGATAATTAGTGGAGCCATTACAACGATAGTTCCTTTGATGGACATGCCAACAATTCTTTTTAATGTGACCAGGTTTTCCACAGTTATAACAGACATTCCCTTGTGGGCCCGATTTACTTGTTTCAAATTTGAACGCATTTGATTTTTCTGCTGGTGCTCAATCTTCATAATCATTTTTCTCTTCAAGTAATTTTGATTTGATTTTGCTCTTTAGGTAATCGACTGTTCTGTCCTTCTCTGGTAATACATCTACTAAGTCAACCAATGTGACTGTAATTTGAAGGTAATGCTCTTAGCATATAGTTCAATTTTTCTTGTTCCGTCACGGTGGCGCCGGCATGTTTCAGCTTCGTTCACATACTTCTCAAAATCATCGAAAAATATATTTACATCAGGATAATTTTTTTATGACTTTGAGAAGTTTTACACACATTTTTACACATTCTAAGTTATTTCGACAAACAATTTGTAGAGATGTTGAAGTTTTTAAATACATTGCATCAAATTTCGTAATTATATCAAATGCAGTCTCACACTCGTGAATATATATTCCAATTGCTTGTTTGTTATGGCGCCGTAAATGTAATTTGTAGCTTGGATATCCTTTTCTTCCCATTTTTTCCACGTCATCATTTTCACTGACTTTTCGCTGAACCACATCTTTACACTTTTTAAATTGAAGAAATTTCATCATACGCACTTTCCAATTAAAATAGTCCGAACCATCAAATAGCGGTATGCCGATATCGCTGCTTCTTGTACATGCCATTTTTATGCTAGTACCGGTAGCTTTTAAAAAAATTATAACTATTAAATTCTTAATTCATATTCACAAACCACGAGAACTGCTATCATGTTAAATAAATCGATGTCATATGAAGAAGCAAGTCGAAAAATAAGAAATGTGTCTTTTCACATTTTTTATTGAAACTTAACAATACATGCACAACATTACATCGGCATCCATAGCTCGCACACAGAGAAGAGAGAACTTGGTGTTGCCAATACGGTAAATATAAATGTACCAAACTAACACTTGTTCAAACTTATGCTGGAAGAAATGTAATTTTCAGAAATCTTTCTTATTTTGTGACATGCCGTTAGATGTGTCCAGGCTGTTGGGATTTTATCCATAGTAGAGTAGCAGAAGACACTTCATGTTACTTTTCATTTTATCTTCACCTCAACCTTTTTGCATGTTCTAAACAAAAGACTGTTCAAGATGGGTAGAAACCTAGTTCTTGGTGAACCAGGGCATACAAGTATATCTTAGGACTTCATCTGGTATATGTAAATATTGAGTAAAAGAATGAAATTGCATTTGCTAATTTCCTTCAAGCTCTTTGCTGGAGCTCTGTTCAAGGCTGATGTAATAATGAATTTTTTTTTTTTTTTTTTTAATTCAGAGAAAGTAGTAGTGAATAGATTTTTATGAACTTGGTGATTCATTCAGGAAATGGAAATTTTTTTATCCTAATCAGGTTTTGCTTCAGCATTTAAGACGCCATTCAAGTTCGGTCTTTTGAATTCAGGGTTTTGCATTCTTTGGATGTTTTGCAAGATTTAGGATATTCGTTGCAAAGGCTATTATACCTTTGCTTTGCTACAATACATATCTTTAAAAGGAAATGACTGTGTTTTCATTGGACATATGACAGATTAGTCATAAAATTACCTTTGCTTTTTGGTGTTCCAGAATGGCAAAACTTTACTCATTATAATGGTTTTACTTCACTATGTACTGGGAAAATTTTCATGTCAAAACTTCATCCATGTGCTGAACTGTAAACATATGTCATTGTATATTGAAAGTGAGAATTATCAGAAGATATAAAATCTGTGTAGTCAAATCAGAAATTAGTTGAGAATGATGTTTTTCAAAATCTATTGTTGAAAATGTATAGTTGGGATCATATGGAAGAATTGAGAGTCAGTAATTTGTAATCACAGATAAAAATTGAGGATATGAAGGGAAAGTTTAAAAAGGCTGAGCATAAGGATATTGAAAAATTATTGCAAAAATGGTTCATTGTTAAATGTGTAATTGAAAGGAGGGATCCAAACTATTACATTTACACTAAGTAAATTTATCGTGTAAAATTATTAACGTATGGGGAGGCTCATAAACCGTGAAAAAGAAATTGACTAATTAATGCAATAATAATTGTAATTTACTATTAAAAATTTTTTTAAAATTATATTTGTTATTCATTTCCTTTTTTGGGAGATATTAGAATACTAATATAGTCCTCCCTTTTTTTTTTTTGTTTTTTTGTTTTTGTTTGTGTGTGTTCATGTGTTTGCGCATATATGTGTGGGAGAGAGATTTGTTAATCAGCTTTCCACACTATTTTTGAGATAACCCATATTTTTTTATTTGTAAATCAACATTTCATGTTTTATTACCACATGAAATAATTGATGAATCGGCTTTCTAATAATTTGTGCACTTTGTGTCTCATACACACACTTTGTGTGTATGAGCTCTGATTGCACAAATCATACACACACTTTGTGTGTGTATGATTTGTGCAATCAGAGCAAAATCTCCATTCGAACTTAGTGCTTGTAAATGACGTATTGGTATGTGTTGATTATGTTAGTTTATGTTTGCAAAATATTCTTTGGAATATTTACATTTAATCTGATTTACTAACTTCTGCGTAGCTTCAAGTAATAGAAACTGCTCAATTCTGCCAACCTGATTTCTGTTGTTTCAAGCTTTTAGAGAATCTCAGTTATTTTGCCAAGAAATCTCAAGCATTTAGTATGTCATTCAAGTTTTGTTTTATTGAAGTAATAATTGTAAGTTATAGCATCTATCCCTTTCTTATGAATTTTCAAGAAATATCACAAAGTGTTAAGTTCTAATTTTTAATTATTATAGTATATTACAAGTGAAGAGGGAAAAGCTAAATAAAATCATGCAAAATGAAAGGAAACACATAGTTACATTAAAAACATCATGAACACAGTACTGAATCGTATGAAGAAGCTTTCAAGCATTTTAAAGTTTTTCTCTGAGGTTATATAAATTTCAATACCTATGTACAGAAAATGCCTTCTAAGTTTACAAAATTATAAAGCAATTCCAAGGAATCGAATTCTGAATTTATTGACCATTCTGAGCTTTTTTAACAGTGTCTGCATGCTTTATTTTTATTTTTTAGCTAATTTAATCTACATCTAGATTAGAAATTTAGAGATCACATACATAGAAATATTACTGGCTTCAAGAATCCAAAATTGATATCATTTCCTTTTAATAAACTTAAACTTATTGTTGTGATCATAAACATGAATCTTATTATGTTTATATGTGTATGTGTGTGTCAGTGTGGATGTGTATGCATGTGTGTTATGTATATGTACTATATATCATCATGTATATCTTTGATCAGTGTAGTATTGTCATTATGTTATCGTATTTTTAATTAGCCTTTTGTGTGAAAAGGTTTTACATCTGGTCAAAAGGTTTTAAATCAGATTTATTAAATTTACTTACAGTAATAAATATGATAAATAAGTGTGTGCAAGACAAAGTTCATGTTCACTATATTAATAGGCTTGAAGATTTACATGTGTATGACATGTCTGTACTAGTAAAATTGCTTACAAAAATATTATTCTAATTTAGTTTTGAACTGAAATTATTCAAGCAAAATTCTTAATTTAATTTTAATTTTTTTAACTTTTATATTTGTTTTACGCATAGTCTACTTCTTAAAATAATTTGAGAAATTGAGCTTTTTTATGATGATAAATTTCAGCATTTTATTTGGTAACTGTCTTAGGTATTATGCTAAAGTCACTTATATATTACTGTATTTTACGAAAATGCATTTTTTCTTTGTTAGACTTTATAAATTGTAGATTATGCATATGGAGGTTTTTTTAATGATCATATTTATTTAATTTTTGATAGACTTTGAAAAGTGATTTATCCCTTCATGTTCAAGAATTTGAAAATATATGCAATCTTGGAGAAGGTCTTTTGTCAAGCTGTGAAGCAGATACAGAATCTGTTAAGAAAGAGTTGGATGTCTTGAAAAAGAAGTGGAGAATACTTAATAATGGTTACTATTTTTAAGATCTATGAACCCTCAACTTGCATGACATATTATTTTTGTCTTTGTTTTTAATAAATGTAAATTTTATTTGTCTTTAAATAAATTTGGATTTTTGTAATTCTTTGTTTTATTTTTATGATATTCTGCAATACTTTGATAAAATACATTAAATGACTTCCAATCTTGTAAATAATATTATGCACTCATAGTGAGTGCATTATGCTCTCAAACTGAGAACAATGTGTTATTGATGTACTAAGTGGTTTTATTATGCAATTTAGTTTTTACTGGCTAAAAGAACAGTGCCTCATAAGACATAGTCTGTTCCTATCATGCAAAATTTTATTGATTAATAATTTTGCACATCAATTTTCTAGGAGTACTAAAATGAACAGTTCTATGTGCTTATTTAAATAAAAAACTAAATATATACTTAGAATATTTTAAGTGAATACTGCTGTAGATGAGCTAATGTTTAAAAAAAAAAAATTAGTGAAAATATCTTTGGTCAGTAAAGTTTATTTTAGTTATTATTTTTAATTTTTTCTTAGATATCACTGTGCGTATGCAGTCATTAGAGGAGATGTCTCAAATATTATTAGAACATGAAGAGAAAATTCGGGATTTGCAACATTCTGTTCAGCGTCTAGAAGATAGACTGCGTTCTCATGATGCTTTAGGTGATATGTCTTGTGATCCAGTACTTCTAAACAGGTTACAGGTAAAAAATACAAATAAATTTATGTATATGTTGCAAAATCCTGTAGTTATTCATATGCTGTTTTGTACATATAAAATTATAAGTTTGCTTTGTTCCTTAGACTTAAGTATTTTAAGTAAAATTGACGTTCACTCACAAATAATACATAGATAAGTGATTTTGCTCATTTTTTCATAATTATGGTAAAACTCCAATTATCTAGAGAAACTGGATAATTGGGTTACCTCTTTTTCTATAGCCAAATAAGTGTTTGCTCCAGTAGATTTTATTTTTTTAATATTCCCTTTTTCAACAAAATATTTTAATTTCCATTAAGCAAAATGTCGAAAACGCATTTATTTCTATAAAATTAAATGATGAAATTATTTTTTATTTGCTAAGCATGTTATTCAAAAACAAGTAACACTTTCCACAAATGTTTTTACAAAAATTGCTTAAAAATACCACAATGCCTATTAAAAGCTAATATGAAATATCATGTTAAACTGCTGTTGCACAGCATATAGTTAGTTATACATAACTGTCTTTTTTGAAGGGAGCACAGATGTGATATCACTGTGATGTGTATTCTGTTTTCAGAATGAGATATATGTTAAGGCTAAGTATTGAATGATGTGTGGTTTTATGTTACTAAATTAAGAGAGTTAAAAGTGTGTGACATGCTTATTATGAATTATTTGTTTCTGGAAGGTAATAAACAGTCATATTATAAGTTTTAAAAAATGTATATTATTTCTTTTTGCATGGAACATTGTTCAACGAAAACATTTTGAAATACTTAAGTAAATTAAAAGCATCACTTGGCCTTAGAAGGAAGAATCGGGTAATTGGAACTCTACTGGACTAATTTTTATTAAATAGGAGTCATTGATTATTTTTTGAACTCTAAGAATAAAAAGTCATCAGATTTGTTATGTGCATAGATCTTTTATATTTATATCCACTTGTTTTAAGTATGTTGCTTTAATCTTGCAGTTCTGACATGTATTTTAGCATGTTACCAAGTAGGGTATGTAAGTAAAGTAACATTGTAGGTGTTAAAACTTCAGTTGAAGTTTTATTTTTCTTGGCATCAAAGACTTCAAAACTTTTAAATCCTTGAGATATTTCTAATCATTAGCAGCTAAGTTGCTAGTTTATAAGAGAACAAGAACCAAAAGTCAAAACAATTTTCTGCTTTTATAATTTTTTGGGGTGGCTTTGATATACAAGACACTAGAATGATACAGTCAAAAGTCTTTAATCCGGACTCGTTGGGAGTTTGGCGATTTTGGATTATCGATTTTTCCAGATTAAAGATCATCAGTTTAAATCTGGTAAGATGGCAAGCAGAAATTATACAATTAAAAATATGAAATTGTAATTTATGAAATAAAGAGCAATTGTGATCTAAATGGTATCAAAATTTACTAAAAAAAGCTTAATATTTATTTATTAAGCATTTCTTTCAACACGTGCATGCGTAAAGCATACATTACGCATAGTCAAAATTAGAAAATTACAACCAGAAAACTAATTTCTGTGTATTCATGATATTTATAAATTTAAATCATATAAAAAGGATATTGATTTAAATCATATCGGAGTACATCGAGATGAGGCACTACATTTAGTAAGGAATTATAAGCCGGATAAAATAAAAACATCTGCCCTGAACATGAGGATAGTGCTGACAGATCAACTTCCAGCTAATTGCGCACCACGACATCCCCCCCCGCAGAGCAGCGTGAAATTGATAAACAGATTTCGGAATGGTTAGAGACACAAATCACCTCTCTGTCACTTTCTTCATGCCTTTATCCATTTTTTGCAGCAATTCCACTTTTTGTTTAATGGACATTGAAACATACTTTCGCTTTGTAGATCCTTTGGCAACTCCAGAATCGGAAATTCAATTTGACATAATCGAAAGTTCTAGCTTACTTTTATAAAATTGCTCCAACAGTCTGCAAAAAAATAATAAGCCGGATCCAATTCGAAGATTAAGGAACAGTGCAATCTGCAACATTTACTGAAATAGATAATTAGATAATTTTAGCTTAGCTTATACCGTCCGTTATACATTAAATGAGCATGCGTAAACGTATTATGCGCATGCGTAATGCGATTACACATGCACAGAAAGTTTGTAGCTTTGAGGTCCGTATTATAGTCAAGTTTGATACTGGCATAGAGAAAGTTCTAGTTTAGCCGCACAAGAAGAAACACGCATGAAGAGTAGACACAAAGCCAAAGAAACTCGTTCTGAAAAAATCCCACATCCGGTCAGATAATACAGTCAAAAGTCGTTAATCCGGACTCATCGGGACTTCGGGGATTCCGGATTATCAATTTTTCCGTATTATAGATCATCAGTTTAAATCTGGTAAGATGGCATGCAGAAATTATAAAATTAAAAATATGAAACTGTAATTTTTGAAATAAAGAACAATTATGATCTAAAGGGTATCAAAATTTACAAAAAAAAAAAAAAAAAAAAAAGCTTAATATTTATTTGTTTACTTTACTTTCTTCACTATCGTAAGCGAATTATAATGATGAGGAATTTGATTTAAATCATATCAAAGACGAAGTACATCCAGATGAAATACTACATTTAGTAAGGAATTATAAGCCAAATAAAATAAAAACATCTGCCCTGAAGATAAGGATAGTGCTGACAGATCAACTTCCAATTCATTGCGCGCCGCCTCGTCCCCCCCGCCGCAGAGCAGCGTGAAATTGATAAACATATTTCAGATTGGTTAGATAAACAAAGGATATTCCTTTATCCATTTTTTGCAGCAATTCCACTTTTTGTTTAATGGACTTCAAAGCATACTTTTGCTTTGTAGATCCTTTACATATTAGTAAATACGAGGGCCATCCAGGAAGTAGATTACGTTTCCGTCTGTGTCCGCTAGGGGCGGGGCTAGCGCGGCCATCTTGTGGTCAGAGCGTTGCGCAGCTCAGTCTGCATCTAGCCGTGCTAGTGAGAGGTTCGTGCTGTGCTCCGTTCAGATACTGTGACAGTTTGAAATGTCTGCGTTAATTGAAAATCCCGCGAGCTGCGAGGTGCGCTCAGTAATAAGGTTTCTGACTGCAAAAAACTGTAAACCGATAGAAATCTATCGGCAGCTTCGTGAAGTGTATGGGGACAACATTATCACTGAAGGTGGAGTGCGTCAGTGGGTCATAAGATTTCAAAATGGCCGAACCAATGTTCACGACGAAGATCGAAGTGGGAGACCCAGCATAGTGACCGCCGAACTTCTCGAAAAAGTCAATGCTAAAGTCCGTGAAAATCGAAATTTCACAATAACGGAACTTTCTTTGAGTTTTCCACAAATTTCGCGAAGTTTGTTGCACGAAATCATCAGCGAAAAGCTTGGTTACCACAAGTTTTGTGCAAGATGGATTCCAAAAATCTTGACAGAGGACCACAAAAATCAGCGAATGGCTGCAGCGTTGAACTTTTTGGACGCTTACCATAAGGATGGTGACTCTTTACTCGATCGCATCGTTACTGGTGACGAAACATGGGTGACCTATTCCCTATTCCCAGCAATGAAGAAGTGGCTGGCTATGCAGCGTTTTGATGACGACGCACAGCTGCAAGAAGAGGTAACGAAGTGGTTGAAGGCGCAGGCGGCCGAATTTTTCGACGAAGGAATTTCCAAGCTCGTACATCGCTACGATAAATGCCTTAATTTGTATGGTGACTATGTAGAAAAGTAGTATTTGAGTGTGGCTTTCATCTGTATATAATAAAATTTGTTTCCTATACTTTGTTTATTTTTTTATTCCAAAACGTAATCTACTTTCTGGATAGCCCTCGTATATATCGGAAATTCTATTTGACATAATCGAAAGTTCAAGCTTACTTTTATAAAATTGCTCTAACAGTCTGCAAAAAATAATAAGCCGGATCCAATTTGAAGATTAAGGAACAACGCAATCTGCAACATTAACTGAATTAGCTAATTTTAGCTTAGCTTATACCGTCCGTTATACATTAAACGCGCATGCGTAAACGTATTTTGGGCATGCGCACATGCATATTCGCAGCAGTAAAGGTCTTACGCGCATGCGTCTCTCAGAAACTTTGTAGCTTTGAGGTCCGGATTATGGGTGTCCGAATTAACGACTTTTGACTGTACTAACTGAAAAACCTCACTGCTGACATGAGGACTGATTGTATTATAAGCTGTATGATTATCTGCAGCTGATGCATTCCTTATCTTCCTCTCCTTATTGAGAGATCGCTTGCATCATGATTTTAGGTATCTTTCGTAGATGAGAAATATCTTCTGATTTGAACTTTGCTCTTGTCATTTCCTGCTATATTGATCTCTTATGGTATGTATCAAATTGTGTTCAAAATCATCATGTAAATTTTGAGATGCAATGTTTCTGTTTATTAATTACCTTAATTTTCGACACCAGTGAAATGCAATGAATAGAAAGTAACAAATGTCACTGATAAAACAGGTTAAGTTATGTGAACCTGGAAAATTATGAAGTCTTTTAATTCTAATGAGGGGTTACATTATGAGACATCTCCTATGTAGAGAAGTTTCTGATTATTGCTCTGTTTGTTTTGTATGTTTATATTAAATTTAAAATCTTATTTTTCTTAAATCCTTTCATGAAGTAAATAAATTAACAAATAAAATAAGAAATTGTGTGGATGGTTGCAGTTTTAATTAATATATCTAAAACATTTATTTGTAAAAAATTGGAATCAAATTTTAACATAGTTTTCATAGGGTTCGTTTTGGGAGAGGGGGTAAATTATTACAAGATGCTGTTAAATTTGAAAAATGTGTATTTTTTTGTCTCTGAACTATTTTTCATATTTTGCATATAACTGTAATATTAAAATTCTGTTGTTTTGTATATGTTGTAAAATTATGATATTTTTTAGGCTTTACTGCAAGAAGCTGTGGACATGAAACCTGAGTTTAAGAAAGTGAAGGATTTTGTGAAAATGATAATCGAGAAAGCTGATAAGAGCTGTGACTCTTCTGAAATTTTTCAATGTATTGAATCACTCGAAAGTAAACACGAGGCTTTAAGAAAAGAATTAGAAAGTAGATGCACAACTTTGAATGCTTCATATAAAATCATTTCAATTTTCATGGTAAGGAAAACATATCTAAAATATTAAATTACTAGAATTTTTTATTATTATTATCTGTGTGTTGTAACTACAGGAGTACTCAAGAAGTCTGTCAAAAAACTTGTGAAAACTAGCTGCATTGATTAGTGACAGTCATCTTCTTAACCTCAAAAAGTGTCATTAATATTCTATTCCACTGTCAGTAATTTTTTATTTTTGTGTGTGCGTGTTATGTGTATGAATATGTTAAATTCTGATTATCAAATTCTGTTTTAAAAAATTATGATTTTCAGCAACTAAACTTCATTATACATGAATTGATGTTAGAGTTGTTGTTAGATCTTTTATTAGTGTTGGTAGATGTAGCCAAATGTAGTTATATAGATACTTAATTATACTGCTTCTATATTCCCTCTTTTTCAGAACTTAAAATTTATGGCTGGTCATATTTCTAAAATATGCAAATATGTTTGGATTTTAACTTTTGAAGTGTTTTCTAAAAAAATATTATTCATTAAAAAGAGTAAAATTCAAATAAAGTGTATTTAAATTTTGTTTCTTAAAATTGCCACTAATGTATCCTAGGATTTGGATTATTGAAAGATTGCATGTGTAGCACAGTAATTCCCCAGATTCCATGTATTTTTGCAGTGCATTATCATTTTTATATTTTTATGTACCTTTTTGGGCAGTTAAAGTGAATATGTGTTTATCTGCTAAAAGCAAATATTTGTAATATAAGTGTTATGTCCTAGTTTTATTAATGGAATTTCCCTTTTTAATATACCTTAAAAGCATATTCATAAAAGCTCTGCCTCAAAAATGCAATGATGAATAATAATGCAAATGTGAGAGGTGTGAATCATGCAGCAGATATCTAGCAATTTTTAAATTTTTATTTGTTGTTAAAAAGCACAGATAATAAATAATAAAGAGAAAAACTTTGCAAAATATGGTTGTAGTATCAAAGTACATTTTTCAGAAAACCATGAAATTTTAGGCAGTACTTTTTTCTAGAGAATTTTGCAAGTCAGCGATTCTATAAATTAGAAAATGCTGGTTATTTGTCAATAGAATTTTATACTGTTATTAAAGATTTGCAGCTCTGTAAATCTGTTCATGATAGCTACATATGTTGATAAATTCCGGCCTTTTACTGCATAAAGGGCCGCCCAGCGGTAACGTCGCTGAACACTGGTAGTTCAGTCTGAAGTTCGAATCCCACAAACGGGCTGGCTGCATTGGCGTTTTCATGGTTTTCTCCATGTGTAACATGTATACGAGCCAGTTTCTCTTAGAAAGTCCTCCACGAAGGCATCCCTCCCCTTAGGCAGATAGCCCTCAGGAACAGTTCTGTATCTCCCGTTCTACTGGGCAGATTGACGAAATTCAAATTGCATGTTTATGTCTCAAAATTGCGACTTAGGATATATATTAGATTTATTAAAGCATTGTTCTAATATTGGTATTTTGACATTAAATCGGACTTTTTCTGAAATAACATGCCCTTTTTTTTCCATATTTCGATTCTATGACTCAAATTATGCCTAGATATTAAATTTTGTAAAATTTGGTGCGAAATTTACAGAGAAATTCAAAAATTTATCTAGGTTCATTTTTTCAGTTTCCGCCAAGAACAATTCACTAATATAATAGGCAAACTTCTTAATTTATAGCAACCTATTTTCCTTTCCCTTTTTCACATTCTACACGAGCAGAAAAAGGTCATCGTTCATATTTTCAAATAATTTTAACAAAGTGCGTAAACCACATTTGGCGTTATTATCGCTTATAACATATATGCCAAATTTCAGAACACGTCAATATGTAAATTCACATGTATCTTAGAATATTTTGAATAAAAAATTCTAATTTTTTTAAGTGTACCTAGAAATACATCTACTTTAAGTTGATGTTAGCAATTTTATAGATTATAATACAAAACTTTTTCGAAAAAATTATAAAAAATATTTAAAAATATAATTTTTAAAAAATAAATCATAAAAATGTGTGAATTATATTTGATTCAAGCCTAAATTTTGAAGTCTGGAAGAAGGAATCGAGTATTCTTAATAAAAAAAAAAAAGATATTAATAAATATATACAAAATTTCAATTAACATCGAGGACCTAAATTTTTGAAAGATGATTTTTTTAAAACTTACTCGTGTGATTTTTATGAAACTTGGCAGTTTGGCTTAATTTGAGTCGTAGAATCGAAATATGGAAAAAAAGTGGCATGCCATTTCAGAAAAAGTCCGATTTTGTGTCAAAATATCGAACATATTCTAATATTGCTATATATAATTACATATTATATATACATTTAAAAGTCTTTAATCTGGACTCATCGGGACTTCAGTGATTCTGGATTATCAGTTTTTCTGGATTATAGATCATCAATTTAAATCTGGTAAGATGGCATGCAGAAATTATAAAATTAAAAATATGAAACTGTAATTTATGATCTAAAGGGTATCAAAATTTACCAAAAAAAAGCTTAATATTTATTTGTTTACTTTATTAAACATTTCTTTAAATGTAAGTTGTTTAAGTTGCATCATTTTATGTACTAATACTTTCTCTTTAATTCTATAAACAGACATAATTTCTTGTTCAGTTACAAAGTTCCACTGTTCAAATCCTGTAATTGCTGTGCCGAGAATACCGACTAATTTGTCAATCGAAATTTTTTGGTTTTCACTAACCTCTCTGTCACTTTCTTCATACCTTTATCTATTTTTTGCAGCAATTCCACTTTTTGTTTGATGGACATTGAAACATGCTTTCGCTTTGTAGATCCTTTGGCAGCTCCAGAATCGGAAATTCTATTCGACACAATCGAAAGTTCAAGCTTACTTTTATTTTAAGATTTTTAGATAATTTTAGCTTAGCTTATTCCGTCCATTATACATTAAACGTGCATGTGTAAACACATTCTACGTTTACGCATGTGCAAAAAGTTGGTAGCTTTGGGGTCCGGATTATAGATCATTCCGGATTATAGACGTAATATATATTTTTAAGTAGCATATTAACATTAGCATATTATATATTTGCTGATTTCCCTTAAAATTGGTGGATGGTAGAGAAAAGCATGCCAAATTTATATTCACTGATGTAAAATTTTCAAAAAATACTCAAAAATATTGCAAGGAGGGGAAAAGCTTTTAGATGTAAAACCATATTTTATATCACAAATGATTTTTGATAACTTATGCATGCAGATGTGCAGTAAAAATGAAGAACGAAATGTTAAATATGAAGAACAAAATATTTACAAAAACATGTCAAAATCAGTTGTAAAATAGAGTTTTGAAAATTTCTTCCAACATTTTTTTTCATATTTTTATATTAAATAGTTCTCACTGTATTTTTAAATCATTTTTCTGTACGTCATGATAAAATATTTTTTTCACTTTAGGAACATATAAAAGATATCAGATCAGACCTTAACAGCCTCGATGAGGAATTTGATAACATGCAACCAATTGCTCATGATTTAAAATTTCTTAAGATCCAGTTGAAAGATATTGAGGTAAGAATTCTGTTTTTAATATTCAACTTTACCATCGAACCAAAAAAAAGGAATGTGTGAAATGCTATGTTTTTAAATGATATGCTGATATTTGTAAACTAAATTTAAGATATGGACTTTAAAGGAACATATTTTTGAAAATGTCTTTGTTTTTATTTTGCACTGTTATTTCCATGAAATGATTTTTCGATGTTTTATTGCTGAAAGGTTTTATTATTTATATATGCAGTGTATACTGGATACTTTGGGGAGAAAAATATAAAATGGTACAAAAGTATTGCTTGTTGTCATTTTGTTCTTTTATTTCTTTCAGATGATAAAAAAAAATAATTACTTAAGCATACAATTAATAGCTGTAAGCATACAATTAATAGCTGTAAGCATTGAATTCTTAGTGTATGCCTACAGCAGTTAGTTATCTGGAAGCTCATTAAAGTTATTAAGCTATAAGCATATGATAGATAAATTATTAGTAATTCTGAAAGGTTATTATTAGTTATTGAGCTATATGCATATAATTATTAGTGTATGCTTATAGCAGTTACTGAAAATTGGAGAGGCTTTTTTTTATTTGGAATATAATTATTTACTAAAATTCTTGTAATACCTCCTTATCACAGGAATTTCATTCAAATTTGCTGAAGACCAAACATAAATTTTCAACAGCAGAAAAGGAATGCAAAACTATTGAGAAGCAAGAGCATATTTTGGATTCCAAAAGTTATGTGGAACAGGTTTGTAACTCTAAATTATTCCTTTAAACTGTAGTTTCTGATTCTACTTCAGAACGAACTTCCTCGAGGATAAACTTTAAAGCTTGCTTTGTGTCTAACATACTGTCATTTTGAAACTTGATGTGAAAACATATACTTTATTATGCATGTTTTAAGGCCTACTTTAAAACTTCAGAGCAACTTAAAACATTTTTTCTATACTTAAGAGCTTTAAAACATATTTTCAAGGCTATATTTAAGTATTAAATTAGTTAAGGTTCATGCCCTTTATTTTTAAATTAGATAACAGCTGAATATATTGAAGTTCATGATGCTTCAGTTTAAATATATTTTTATACATTATTTCGTAAATAATTTTTATTAGGAATTTGTCTCGAATATATACTTTGTGTATCTTTGTTTAATTGATTTTTGATTAAGCAATTGAGTTGCTTAAACCATAATTTTTTCAGATGAAGAATTTAAATAGACAGATTATTCGTTTAGAAGAGCATGTTAAGACAAGGGAAACAGCTATTAAAACCACGATTACCAGAATTGAAAGCTTTTATGCCATTTATTCAACAGTAATGAGTGACTTAAATGCAGTGTTGAAAGAAGCAGCAGCATTTGAAACTATTGGCGGTGATGTAGATATTATTCGATCTCAGCAGCAAGCATTCAAAGTAAAATAATTTTCCATTATATTTTTTAAACTAGTAATATTTTATGTGATTTATTATTCTGTGGTTTAACAGTAAACATGTAATAAAATGGACTTTTTTTAGAAACTGTGTAATTCAAGAGTAATTCCCCTGAGCAAAAAAATAGTAGAAGTTAACAAACTGGGTCAAGGTCTGGTCCAAACTGCAACATCTGGAGTTGATACAAGTGAAATGGAACAGCAAATAGAAAAACTTAATACATCTTGGAATTCATTGCAAGAATCTGTAAGTTAAGTGCTGTTTAAGCTGATATTTTTTATAGTTACAAACACTCACAAAATAAATGCTGTCTTTTAAAGGATTTAGAAATATGCTGTGCAATATTAAATGAAATGTTCTATAAGAAGTGATTATAAAATATGTAAGCCATTCTTACTGTAACAATCGTTAGTTTAATGTGAAATAAGTTTTTGACTAAATTTTGTTAAGTGCATTAATTTTCTGTCAAAATTGTGTCATACCATCAGGGTATTAAATTGCAATCCAGAGTTTTCTTTATGCTACAAGATATTACCTTTTCTGAGTATGAACTTCTAATGAATTTTTCTTCCCTTCCAGATTAATGAAAAGGAAAAGAAACTTGATGTTGCTTTACTTCAATCTGGCAAATTCCAGGAAGCATTGAGTGGTGTACAGAAGTGGTTGAATGATACTGAAGAAATGGTTTCCAATCAAAAACCACCCTCTTCTGATTTTAAAGTTGTCAAAGCTCAAGTTCAGGAGCAGAAGGTGAATAAATCTGCAATTGTAATTTTTCTCGTTAAATATAAATGTTCCATTAATGTTCATTTCATCAACTGATTATACTTTTCCCCTCGCCAGTAAAGTATTTTGATATTTTCTAAAAAGAATTGCTCTATGTGATCACCTTTGCCACCTCATAATAAAATTTATATCTCTTCATGTTTGCAAAAAGTTTTATCAAAATTCATTTTCCTCCTAAATGGTTGGTTAAAACCGCAGTTGGTCCCAGTGGTCCATGAAAATGTTTTGATGGCCCGCAGAAAAATTAGGACATAGTTTACGCTTTTTTGCAGACATTTTTTACTCTCTTTGGTTTCAAATAAAATAGATAATAGACCCATAATGGTTGAGAAAAAGCAAGAGAATATTTTGCATTTCTTCAGTAAAACTAAAGATACAATAACTAATGAAAATAGTATTACTTCACTTAACAGAGAAGCAATCAATGAATCAAAGCATCCACATTCCTCATCATGGACAGATATCATTAGAAAGAACGTTGAAAACTGGAGCTGGAAAAAAAAAAAAAAAAAAAAAAAAAACCAAGGTAACAAGGAAATGTAATTCAGACTACTTGAAATTTGGATTTATACCAGAACCTGGTACATACTTAGTTGCATCTCCGGTCTTTTGTTATTATCTGTTCTCAGAGTTTATCTAATGATGCCTTGAAACTTTCAAAACTCGAAATACACTTGAAATTCAAACCACCGGGTTTAGCTAAGAAACTACATGAAAAGTTTCAAAAAAGGGTTAAAAATATGCAAAAATAAGTAGGTACCTTAAAAATATGGTTGTTTAAGATAATTTCTTATCAAAGGCTTTCTATCTGATAGTACATTAAATAGCACAAAAGGCAAAGCTATATACAGAGAGGAATTATTCAAGCCTTGCATTACAACTTTATGAAGAGGTTTTGGGAAAAAAAGCTGTTCAGAAACTGAAAGTAAAAAGTCTGCTAACGCTTGTTAAGCCCAAAATTGAAGAAATGACTGAACATGACTGGACACCGCTCAGGAGTTGTTGCAAAGGTGAAAAATGTTAGTCACCCAGACTTTCTGTCTACACACTGCATTAAACATAATGAGCATCTTGTGGTTAAAAAAGTGTCCCCAGAACTACACCAAGTATTCTCGGATGTTATCAATATCACTAATGAATTTTGACACAAAACGCTTAATTCTCAACTATTTGGAACACTTAGTAAAGAAATAAATACACAGTAAAATCACCTTCTTCACATTGAGGTGAGATGGCTTTCAAGGGGTAAAATACTGACTCGACTGTTCATCCTGCGTGAGAAAAATCAAATTATTTTCTAGCAGCAAAATAATTCGAAATTTCAAGAACACTTGTCCACCGATGAGTACATAGTAAAGCTTGCACCCTGACATATTCTTTCTCTGTTAACCGAACCATATGTGAGGACAACTTAGGAACGTGTTTATAGTATGAGGTAAAGTAGATGCTTTTCAAACCAAATATCACTATAGCAAATGCTGTTGGCAGAAGGAAATGTGCTAATGTTTATAAATTTTAATGAACATATGAGAGAGAAAGATCTCAACCAGGAAGTGGCATCCATTATTCAATAGCACTTATAGTATCTAACAGAATGTTTTGGTTTTTATGATCTAAAGCGAGAAGATCCTAAGCATGGAAATATGTGGATAATAGATACATTTTCATAAACACTGAAGATAGCAAATTAAGCATGGATGTAAAAGAAAGCCAGACTGATCTGTCTTGCAAAACAGTTTAAAAACTAAATTCCAGTCATCTTTATCAAAACCTGATTTTTGTCTCTCTATAAAAAATGAATCCCCATCACTGAATGGAAAAGCAATCGGAATTTTAATTTTTAAATTCAGTTTTCAATAACATATTTTTCTAAAATGACATTTTCATCTGTAACAGCAATTGAAACTCGGTACATGTCTCGGCTTGAGAAAAAAGTCTTGTTCTGATATCACAGGAACCAAAATTCTACAAAATAATACATAAATAAAACTACATTTTTTTTAAATAATTACTCTATACCTCTGTTACCTTTAATGACTGTATTTCACATTAATAAAATAAAAGTTTTCTGATTAATATTATATAAATGCATTTACCTTTTTTTTCTAAATTCATATTAGTGGTCCGCCAAATAAGAAATTATACATTTAGTATTCCAAGAAGTTCTAAAGGTTGGCAACCGCTGGATTGAAACACACGTGCTGCTAAAGTATATTTGGAAATAAGTGATTAAGATATTTAAAATTAAGATTAGCTGTGGTGATAGTTTGTTTCATGGTGCAGAATGTGTTAGTCACAAAATGTTATTGAAGTAGAATTCAGTATCATTGAAGTAAAACTTTAAACATTTTTAATCATTAACCACTAACCAGGTCACGGTTTTGCTCTAATGCACTCTCAAAATGCTGTAAAAAGCTGATAGCCTAAAAAAAATTGATTGTGTGTTAAAAAGAAAATATATTAATTCATTAGCATGAAGTTCTCAGCAAGTACAAAAGAACTTTCTTTTGTAAGAAATTCAGTACAGCAGTTAAAGGTTAAAAGCTAGCAACTGAATTTTTATTATTACATAAAAAATTTGTTTTACTGGAAATCTATTCACCTACAAATGACTTAACCCTTTGTGCATGAGAAAGGAATTCTCCCTGATGTAACTATATAATTAGTCTGCCACATATATGCAATGACCATATAGAACCTTTTGTCCCCATATATGCTACACATAGAGAAAATAACAAAACTAGTACATATTCAGCCATTGGGAGCCAAACTGAGGATGAATTAGGGAATTGATGCTGTAACCAGTTCTGGATGATCATTGCATGTATGTGACAGATTGTTGTCAAAGGGTTTTACCTTTCTTGTGTGAATTGTATCTGTCTAACCTACTTTGTAAATAAATTTGCTTGGATGGCATGTAAATATTTGTGCTCGTGGTCACATCTCTAATGTTAAGAGATCCTTTGAGTTCCCTCATTACTTTTTGCTGACATGGTTTTCTAACAACTCTTCTTACTGAAATGAAGGCAAATTGAAGTCTTTTGTTTGAGTGTCAGCCAAAGTTGTCTTAGCAGTGGTCAAAACAGTACAAACAGTTTTCCCCTAGAACTTATTCAATGGAAACAATCCTTCTCTTAACCTTTTCAAGACCAAAACACCCGAGAACGACCTTTCATTCGAACGACCACAACCACCCGAAACAGCCAAAATTGTGTTGTTGTTTTCTTCCTCCCCCTAAAGTATGCAGGAGCAGGTGCAGTTTACCCAAATGCATTGTATCAGTTTATTGCAGACAGTTTTTCCTGAAAGGATTTATTTGTGATATCTTATACTTATTTGTTAGGAAGTAGAAAGGATGTCATTTGAAATCTTCACACCTCTTTGTGCGTTAATGGATGGGGTGGGGAGCAAACTGCTGTGAATCTCTAAAGGCATTTCGGGTGCTTCGGTATTTCAAGCATACAGGTTAGCAAAGGCTTTGGTATTCAAAGAGTTAAGTAGTAACTCTGCTCATATTTTGCCGTAGCTAATCTTGACTAGAAAGATAGTTACTTTTATTAAGTATGAAATAATAATTAAAATTGTATTTACAAAAGTTTTTGGAGATATCTGCATTATTTCATTACAAATATATGTCTGGATTGCATTTTTTAATATTTCTCACTAATTTAAGAATAGATTTATAATAAATGTCAACTACTGGTTTCTAGATTTAAAGCAGCCAGTCGCTGAGTGGATAAAGTTACTAAATACTGGTAGTTGAACCCAGGTTCAAATCTGGCAGAAGAGCTGGTTGCGTGGAGTTTTCACAAAGTGTATTATAAGTGTGGCCCAGTTTCCATTAAAAGATGTTATCTATAAAGGGATCTCTCCTATAATGGAAATGTCTCTTATGTGCACTGAGTGAATTAATAAACTAGCCATCCTAAATGAAAAAAAGTGATTAAGTGAAAGATTAAGCTTTTGTATGTAGGCTGCCTGAAAAGTTTTTAAATGTGTTCTGTTATTCAGACTTCTGGCTTTGCAGTTCCCCTCTCCCTTGAGTTCTTTTCTTGGAATTAGTTTTCATGTCGTTATATTAATGATGCAAAAACATGAAATATACTTTTGTATGGTATTCTCTTTAATAATGAAAATGTGAAATGTTTTACTTCCTGATCTGTGATTGGAGCCACTTTTTGCATGAGTGCTTTTTCAGTGTTAAGAATGTCAAAAAATTTTGTCACTATGTCTAGGCTATATGCAAGGTATTCTAGTGACTAGATCAATTTCAAACTGAACTACAAATGTCACAGCAGCAGCATGCTTCAGTTTTCTGTTTCTTACACAAATCCAGTTCTCCTTCCTTATGTCTTCATACAAATGGTTTTTGCAATGCCTGCATAAGGGTCACTGTTAACTTTCTGTCCATAAGTTTGCAGTGTTGACATCTATTTAACTGCAGTAGATAACCTACCAGACCTCTTGGTCACTATGTGCTGCTGCCTTGAATTTTTTATGTCATTGAAATGCTGGAACACAGCTTAATGCTTCATTGCCATATGTGTGGTGTAACATTACAAGTGTTTCATTACCATTCTTTGCATGTTTAACTCGAAATTCAGTTACGTCTCTGCTGTAATGTCATAGAGATACATTCCTTGTATCTCATCATAAAGATACTTAGATAAAAGATACAAGATACTTGTGATCAAATATTCAAACCCGTGGCTGTCAATTGTATATTGAAACAGGTCATTGAATAACATTCTCAAATCCCAAAACAGAGTTGTTGTATCTAATATAAGGAAAAAGAAACAGGTAGTTTCGAAACTTTTCAGTCAGCTGTTGTATGTTATAGAATAATTGTCATTTCTGCATTTTGTTAATTGTTGATTTTTTCTTTTAGTTCTTGAAGAAAATGTTGCTCGATAGACAAAATAGTGTCATTGGTCTGAAGACTATGGGTACAGAACTAATGAGTACTACAAAAGCAACTGAATTAGAGCAGGCTGAAAATTTAATGAAAACTATAACTGTTCGTTTTGAAGAACTCATTTCTACAGCTGAAGAGCGAATGACAGTGCTGGAAAAGACTCTACCTTTTGCCCAACAGTTCCAGGATATTTTTATCCCCCTTATGGACTGGATGGACACGGCTGAGAAAAGGATAATTGCCTTATCATTTGTTCCTGTAAATGATGAGCAAATAAAAGCAATGGTTAAAGAACATGAGGTTTGTTTTTCATAATTATTAGTAGTAATGTTTCAAAATGTTTTTACTGCTACTGATTCTTTTATTACTTCTTAGTCTTTTTTATATTATCATACACTGAAATTTTTCAGAAATTCAACCATTGTTCAGTATTAATTTAAACCTGAATCTGAATGTAGTAATGATTTTTTTTATGTATATCACGTATGTTAAACTCACAGACTGCATGCAGACCTAGATTCATTTTCGTGCAGCCCTCGGTTTACCCTGAGAAAATAACAAAAAGTATATAGTTACCATATTAAAAAGAATTGGAATTACAGCCCATATCCAGGTGTATATACAACCTCGGGTCCTAAAGCGGACACTTGAGATGATCTCTTTGCAAAATTACTTTCTCCATTTCTACTGATAGAATTAACAGAAACTCAGTGCAACTCATCTCTGAAGCAAACATTTAGTGAAGTGATCTTCCTTCAATTTTACAAATACCTGCATGGTTGGTTCTCAGAGAGCCACAGATTCATATCATGCATGACTTCCATATTTAGTAGTGTATCAGTATGAAAAGCTTCTTTCACTTATGAAAAGGAACAAATCCTCTATGACAACGGTTCTCAATCGGTGGTATGTAAGAGGAAAGTAGGTGGTACATAAAGAAGCAAAGTATTTTTAAATATTAAATTAAAAAATTAAATACCCCAGCATCCTGTTTCCCTCCCCCCACTCTTACACTCGTAAATTTATGCAATCTGAACTTTGTTCAAGGTCAAAAGCCACTCCCAGACTTTACCAAAATATCTGTTTTAATTTTCACAAATATTCTTTTAGCCATAGACGTAACAAAATTTGTCATAAATGCTGTTTTAAAAGGAGTAATAGAAGTGGATGTTATGTTTAATAGGAAATATAAATAAGTTCCTATCAAAAGATAATATCTCATTAATTCTTTTAGAGTTGATCGATTTCTTAGCATGTCTACACTTTATGTCGCCGCCATTTCTGGGCTCATTACTCTATTTTCAATTAGAATAATTTTTTATGTAGATTTGCTCTTTCTAACAGTGGGCATTTTGTCTTCTTGTTGCTTTGTATTCCTTACTTTCTTACAGGATTTGAGAATATCGTTATTTTTGAAGACTTTGTAATATAGTGTGAATTTAAATATTTGTGAAAAAATAATACACCAAACCTAGATTTTCAGAATGGAAAAATAGCTAAAATTGACTAAGCAGAAAAGTGATGATACACAGGTGGTGGATCCAGGACAATCTACTAGCACAAAAAATATTGAAAAGAAAAAAATGACAAAAATATAATGAAAGTTATTTATAATTTGGGTTTACTTGGAATGGAGATGAAATCGTGTTATCTGTGGTGAACTATTATCCAGTCTAAGTATAAAACCATCATTTCTTAAAAGACATTTTGAATATAAGCATGCAAATTTAAAGGCTAAATCTGAAGAATATTTTAAGAGAAACATTTCTTGGCTCAAAAATAGTAAACAAGCAGTGAAAGGTTTTGTTACTTCAAGTGAAAAAGCTTTAGAAACTAGGTTACCTAGTAAGCCTTAGAATTGCCAAGACTGGGCAGGCTCACACTATTAGAAAAAATCTTATATTACCAATGTATATACATATATATAATGCATATATATATAGAGAGAGAGAGAGTGAGAGAGAGAAGCATAAAAAACAGAATATAAAGTCTGACTTTTTAATAAGCATGAAGTTGCAATAGGACATAGCAATCAATATGGATTTAAATTTGGCTATGTGAGCGTAAAAGGAGAATTTAAACATTGTGAGTTTCTGCCATCTAAGCCATTTGACAATGTATAAACATGAAATTATAATATTTATAATGTGTAAATATTAGAATTGAAGTAAAGATAAATTTGAAGAAATTAAAGGGAAATTACTGATTAGTGAATGTTGAAGTAAAAACCAATGGCACACAGAAGTAATCCAAAAATAACTGACTTGTTATTTTTACTAATCCTTAATTTAATATACAAATAATAGAATTTATGCAAAAAATATATATAAAGCATAATCAATGGGCATAAAATAATGTGTATGCTTCATTGGGGGGGGACAGCTTATATTCATTTCCATTAGTTGCATTTCTGACTTCACTAGTCCACTCAAAATAATGTTCAGAAATTTTTTAATAAAGTAAGAGACCAAAATATAACATAGGAAGTGAATTGATGAGTCTACTCTTACATAGCTCCAGAATAATGGTGGGGGGAATTAAACAGATTAATAAAGTATGAAATAAATCTATATCCGTTGGTATATTAGGCCTTAAAATGCCAAGGTGCTGTGAAGTGAAAAAATGTTATAGAAGAAGCCAATAACAATAAGAATATCCAACAAATCCATTTAATCTCAAAGTAAATAATTAAATTTAAAATAAAATAAACCACTAATTAATCAAGAAAATTTTGTAATTTTAAAATTAGTCAACAGAAGTTTTCATGCATAAGAGTGTTTATCTTCCATCCTTTCTTATTTTAGAAGCTGTCATCATTTTCTTTATCGTTTCAATTTTTATTTAAACTTCATTATTCTTTTAATTTGGTTAGGTTAGGTTATTTAATTACGGCAAAGCCTAGAGGGCTATCTGCCTAAGGGGAGGGTTTCCTTCGTGGAGGACTTTCTAAGGGAAACTGGCTCGTATACATGTTGCACATGGGGAAAACCACAAAAACACCCATGCAGCCAGCCCGTTTGCGGGATTCGAACCTCGGACCGAACTACCAGTGTTCAGCGACTTTACCGCTCGGCCGCTGGTGGGCTGTTCTTTTAATTTCTTTTCAGATTTCGTTTTTTGTGGAAAATTGCTTTGAATCTGTTACTGCTAGTACATGTTTTTTTTTTTTTTTTAATTAAAAAGTTTTAAACTACAACATTTTAAATTTTTGTAAAATAATTAACAATTATTAGCATTTGAATTAATTTAGATGGATATTAGAATGATAATACAATTATTAACTTTAAGTTAACTGTAATATTATTTTATTTGTAATAGATGTTTTACTGGTGGTTATAAATTTTTACTAATATTTTCAGAAATTGACTTCTGATATTGAAAGTCATCGAAAATACTTAATAGAACTGAACACAGTGTCTGAAAAACTGAAGCAAGTTATAAGTACAACTGAATCTGAAACCTTAATACAGAAAGTGATGTCAATCAATGAGAAATTTACTGAAATTAGCCACTCATGTGAGAACATTGGTGTAACTCTTAAAGAAGCTCAGAAAGGAATCACTAGTTTTACCACAACTTATACAAAAGTAATATCATGGATTGAGAAAACTACTGTTCAGCTAACCCATTTTCAAGTTTTGAGTGTTTATTCTGATAAACTGCAAATTCAGTTCAAGGATTTGAAGGTATTTTTTTTTAACTTTTTTTTATTTATTTATTTTAACTGGAATACTCTGATTTATTTTTTCAGTGTCAAAGAGGTGGAAATATGCATTCTTTTATAAATTCTTCATATCTTACCAAACTGGGAGCAAATATGTAATGTAATTGGTATTGGAATTATACCTTCTGCTTAATAACACATGTTTAAATTAAATTAGAAGGTCATCTGTAAATAAAATAGCTTGAACTTGCATATTATTTGAGTGTATTTTTAAAATCTTTTTATGTGCCCAAGATAAAGTTAAATATGACTATTGGATTTTATCACTAAAGAAAAATGTATTCTCAGAAGCCTTATTTGTTTTAGAAATCTGTTGCATAATTTTCTAAAATAATGTAATGAATTAAAGCTAGAACTGTCAGTGTTAGTTCTTTTGGAAACTGAATGCATTAAAATAAGTCATTCTGTTTCTTTATACTTTTGGTGGATTTCATATTGTAAGCATATATTTCTTTGTCAAAATTATCTGATGTTATGGTAATTTTTGTGAAATATGATTGATTTTCAACCCGATCTGTCTACTTCAAATGAATTTTATTAAAATTCCTTGAAGTAGCATCATATGTTGTTTCTATATAATTACATTTTTGGAAAGATTTCTGCATCACAACTAATTCTTGATAGTTTTGCTATGATTGACTATTTTAAAAGAAATGGGTCTTGCAGCTGAATAAAAATTAATAGCTTAAATAAAATAATTAACTGGCATATTTTAAAAAGGCTTTTTTTTAGTAGATTAATTATCATAAATATAATTATTAAGCAATATTCAGTAATGAGCAGAAAACCTCCTGTATGTTACCTAACAGTGGTTTAAATCTTTTTACAAAATATTGTTAACAGTAAACAATAAATTTGTTTGAATCCAATCTTTTATCTAACAGCTGTGTAGGAACCTCATGAACAGGTAAGCGAATAATCGCTTTAGTTCAGAAAACAGAAACATAAAACTCTAGAAGTGTTAGTTACCTTTTATTTCTCAAAATAAGAACTTAACAGATGGCACCTTCAGAGCATACATCAAAGCTTCCACTTGTGCTTGATCTCAAAGTATTGGGTTGTTCGGAAAGTAATTTCGTTTTTTCCCGTCAGAGGACTTAATTACATTTTTTTGAAACCAACTTCACACTTAAGCCGCATAACCATTATATGTCTTGAGAGCTGATATTACAAGGCTTGTGTGTGAAAAAGTTCTATTAATTCTACGCAGTAGTTTTTGGTTGGTGCCCTTTTAAATATGGAGAGCAATAAGCAGCATTTTCATCATATTTTACTTTTTTACTTCAGAAAAGGTAAAAATGCTGTCCAAGCAAGGAAAAAAATTGACGGATGTGTATGGAGAAGGCGTGTTAACAGTACGCCAGTGCCAGAACTGGTTTGCAAAGTTTCAATCCGGCAATTTTGATGTCAAAGATGCACCAGGGTCTGGAAGGCCGGTCGAAGCTGACAAAGATGCGATAAAGGCATTAGTTGATGCAAATCAACGAATAACCACACGAGAGATCGGTGAGAGGTTAAATTTGTCGAATTCAACTGTTTATGGCCACTTGAAAGGCCTGGGCTTAACCTCGAAGCTCGATGTGTGGGTGCCCCATGTTCTTATGGAGCGAAATTTGTGTCGTCGCGTTGATGTGTGTGATTCGCTCCTCAAACGTCAGGAAAATGATCCATTTTTTAAGCGGATTATTACTGGGGACGAAAAATGGGTCGTATACAACAATGTGAAATGCAAGAGGTCATGGAGCAGAAAAGATGAACCGGCTCAAAGCGTTTCAAAAGCCAACATTCACCAAAAAAGGTGATGCTGTCCATTTGGTGGGATTTCAAAGGAATCTTTTTTTTTTTTTTTTTTTTTAGCTTTCACCGGACAATACAACTATTAATTCGGAACTCTATTGTCATCAGCTGGACAAATTGAATGATGCACTTAAACAGAAGAGGCCAGAATTAACCAACAGGAAGGGTGTAGTGTTCCACCAGGATAATGCGAGACCTCATACAAGTTTGAAGTCACTCGCCAAAAGCTTTTACAGCTTGAATGGGACATACTGCAACACCCACCATATTCTCCAGATCTGGCGCCTTCCGATTATTATTTGTTCCGGTCCCTGCAAAATTTTTTGGATGGTAAAACCTTTACCTCAAATGAAGATGTCAAAACCACCTGAATCAGTTTTTTGCCAGCAAGGACAAAAACTTTTATGAGCGGGGAATCATGTTACTGCCAGAAAGATGGCAAAAGGTGTTGGACCAGAATGGCCAATATATAATTTAATAAAATATTTATTCATTATACGAAAATTGTCTTTCATGTTCCCCCCAAAAAAACGAAATGACTTTCTGAACAACCCAATAATAAGAAATAAACTTAACTAATTCTTAACTAAAATGATATAGCTGAAGCCATCAAGATTTCTAAGTAGTTGGCCCCTAAATTATCAACTAAGCTGGTGAAGCTATCAAGGGCCTGAGATACAGCCAAGTGTAGAAATAGCTTATAGAGAGTGTAGCCAAACGACGAACACGTGCTAGTCGGAAACTCTAACGAAGTTAGTGGAACTTCGACTTAAGTACTGCTCTTACTTATTTGGATTAACTGCGATTCTAAAAACACATTCTGGTTTGGAAATTGTAAGCTGAAATTAGGAGGGCCAGGAAAGTAGCTTTAAAGATAACTATTAAAAACTTAGGATAAACCTTACAAATTAATAAAAACTAATAATTTCTGCAGTTAGTACTTTTATTTTAGTCTCAACAATTTTAAAATTGTACTGAAGTGGCATCATGAAATGTGATTTCATAGCATGAATTATGTTAATACGTAAGATAAAACTTCAAAGTATTAAAAATTTTACTTTTCTTCCTAGAAATTGAAAGAAACATTAGATTCAGAGCAAAAAGAAATTGCAAGAGTTATTTCATCTGGTGAAGAAATAATGAAACTTGTGTCAGGTATATTACCAAAAACTGAAATCTATATTTTTAGATCACTTCTTTTAATATGTTCCATTAATTTGAGTGATTTTTTTCTCATATTTATTTGTTACAGGTGAAGATGCCATTCAGATGAAAGAGAAGTTAGATTCATTGAACATGAAACTTTCTGATGTTTCAAATAAACTTAAAGAAAGACTTAAAAGTGCTGAGGAATCCTTGCCATTAGTGGAATCTTTTTATTCTGCCAGTGACAAACTAACATCATGGCTTGATACTCTGGAAAGGTCTCTCAAATTAGTAGATAACAGTGCACTAGATGTGCAAGCTGAAACTATCAAGGCAAGTATTTATATTTCCAAGTGCATATGTAACAAGTGTAATTATGTGAATTACTTTAACTCTTCTGTCAATATATTTGTAAATGAACTGAGCTTTTGAATAAGCACTTTTTTCATTTGAAAAGGAAAATACTGAAGTATTTTTCTCAGTGATAAATTAAAAAATGTAAGGTATCTATTTCAAATAAATGAGGATTTTTGAAATTTTGAGCTGAACTGGATATTTAAATAGTTCCAATTGAATCAATCCTGCCACTTCGGAAAGAAACATTTGTATATTAAAGAAAGTTTATGGAAAGTTTTCTTATTATGAATTTATATATATATAAAGGTTTATATAAATTTCAGTGTGTGTATGTGTGTGTGCGTGTAATGATTTAAATCTTGATGTATAATGATAGTAGTAGACCTGGTTAAACATTTCTTTTGTACTTGATATATGCAGCCACACATAACTTGGCAAGGTAAGCACACATGTTCTTGATGAACAACTTCAGTACTTTTTACATTCTAGACATACATCTGAAGCAGCAGGCATTAGCAAGTTAGTAACAGTGAAGTAAGGATGAAATTGTGATATGTTCAAGGCGGAAATTTGGTTCAGAATAATTAAATTTTAGTTTAGTTTATTTTAATTGGAACCTTTCTAATATTATTATTGGTTGAAAACTTATGCATCTGCATGATTAACATTATGGCAGAATTGTATGACACTGATTAATTTTGAAATGATGCAATTTACGAAAGCATGGGTTAAGAAAAACTGGCTAGCACATTTTAAAATTGTGTACACACTATTGACAACTGAACTTCAAAATGCTGGACTGCCAGTGATTAACAGTAGATAATCAGATCTGTAAACTTGTCATTATATTTTAGTCAATTAAAAAAGTGTAATCAATTATATTTTAATGCATAAAGATAGTAGCAGTCATAAAAATTAGTTAACCTTTTCTTTTATTCTTGATATATGTAGCCACACATAACTTGCCACAAGGTGCCCAAGATGAAGGCTTTACTCAGAATGCTTTAATTTTTGTTTAGTTTTATTTTGAATGGCTACTTGAAAACTTTCTAAAATTATTACTAGCTGATGGCTTATGTAAATATCTGTATCGTTAGTGTTATGCAAAAATTATATGACACATATTAATTTTGAAATGCATAGTTTATGAGGATTTATTATACGCGATTACTATTTTTAGGAAAGAAATGGGAAGTAGCCATATTAAAATGGGCCATTAAGGGACTGTTACAGATTCTAATTTTGCTTTATATATTTTTTTAATCTTTTGTATACACACGTATCTATAAATTTCTCTTTTATTAAACATAACCATTAAGTAATCTTGATCTCTGCATAACTCCATAATCCTCCCACCATTTTAATGTATCACAACATTCTTCAGTTTTCCTTTTCAAACTGCCAAATGATTAGAGAATTTCGTTTGCATGAATCTGCTCTTCTCGAAAGTTCTGAATTCTTTGAGTGCTTACACTGCAAAGTGAAACTAAACTCATTTCGATTGTTTTCAGGAAATCATTTCAGACATACATTATATTCACTTTTAAAAAAGAAAGATAGCAAATGAAGGAAGATATGAAATATAAATGGAATTTGTGATATATGCTTTGTAATCTGAATGTATTTGCGATCTTGCTTAGGAGCTAACATAAATTAAATGGAATTAAAATTTCTTCTCGTATATTTAAAATTTATAATGCTTAATATTAAATTGCATGAATCTTTTGTATATACTACATTATAGAATGAACTGTTTTAACAGTTGATATAGTATTTTTCTGTTATTTGATTTATGTATAACGTAATATACTTGATATAGAGCAATAATAATTTTCACTCTGTATCATAGTTGATGAACATTTCATTCACATGCTTTTAAAAAAGTATTTTGCTTTTGTAGCAATTAGAAGAGAGCATTTCCGAATATCGAAGTGTCTTGGAAATCATTAACCATACTGGACCTCGTTTATGCCAGCTCTCTCCAGGAGAAGGTGCCATTGTTATTGAAAATCTGATGTCCCGTGCTAATCATAGGTTTGAAAAAGTTTCTGAGCAAGTGCAGAGGAAAGCTGAAAGAATACAGCTAGCTCTGCAGCGAAAATATGATGTAAGTTGTATTAGTTATTTTCTATTTTTCTTTAATGTATCTAATGCATTGTTGTGCTAATCTGCCTGTTGAAATTATTTACAGTGTGTTATTGAAACTTGGTAATATTTATCCTTTTGTTTTATGTCTCTTATTTCTCTTTCATTTGGTTTCTTTATTCAGTTGCTCTTTATTAGTTTTAATAGTTTCTCAGTTATGTTAGATTCTAAAGTGCACAATAATACTCATTATTTTGAGCGTATAATCTAGACCATTTTTTACATTACTCTACTCTACCATTGGATTAATCAAAACTATTGGCATGGCAAATTGCCAATTCCGAGAGCTGTTACTATTTGTACAGTTACTTGAAATCTTTTCTTTGTTATTTTTCAAATTGTGACATTACATTGTATATCACTCTGAAAACTAAGAGATTTGATATATCTCTATTATCCAAGTTTTGATTAACTGAGATTCTGTGTTGTGCAAGTCCAATGCAATAAAAAAAGCTGGAAAAATGTTTCGCTGACTGACAATAGTACAAGAATGACACAAATTTAAGAATTGGATGATAAAGAATTAGTGGCCATCTTAAACCAGCTATTAGTAGTAGTAAGGAATGAAGTAATGAATGGCACAGGCAGTAATGAATGAATATGTGGATGATAAGATGCAAGATGATGAACTATTTGAACTGTCTGATGAGGCCATTGTAAATTTAGTCACATACTATGAAAGTTCTGATGATGAAAACATAGGTATTGTTTAAACCAAGATCAGTCACACAGATGACTTGAGTACAATCAGAAAGGCAGTGCTCTGAGCTGAACTGCAAGATAACACGTCATAAGCTGACATTATGATGTTATGATGTCTACGGAAGACAGCAGCCAAAAAAGCAAGGCAACACATTATTAAAACAGAAGCCTGTTATTGTTTTTTTTTTTTTTTTAAATTGTGACGAGTTATGTATACTGTCCAGCACCTCATTTGTATTATAGGTGTGTGTTTTCAAGTTCATAGTACGTATCATATTTAATCGCTATGTACCTGAATGAATAGTGTATGTTAGTAAATTCTCTTATAATATGTAAAGTTTGTAGTATTAAAATTTTCTTTGTGTTGGTCTGTGATATTCGAGTTTTTACTTATCCAAGTTAGGCTCGATCCACATTAACTTAGATTAATTGGGGTTCTATTGTACTTAATTTTTGTCTATATTTTGTAAAATAATAAATTTATTTCATATAATTTTTAGTATATTAAAATGATGATTTTATACTGTTAGTATAACAAGTAAGAAAGATGTTTCTAATATCATATATTATGCACCTATTTGCAGAGTAAGTGTTTGCAAATTCAGTTTATATGTTTTTTAATTAACAGTGATAGCACTGAATAATACTGATAACTTTCTGAAATCCTTTATTTCTCATTCTGTAAAGTACCGACAATTTTGCAATCTTTTCGGCTAATTACTTATTTGGGGTTATAGTATTTATTATTATGCATTGAATGTAATGAATTGATAATGGCATTTATCCTCCTTTGGGTATTTTTAATATTTTATTGATTTATCTAGGTTGTCAGTGATATTGATGAACTTTTTGAATGGTTTCAAGAAACAGAGAAACAAATTGCAGAAGCTGAAGGACTTACATCTGAGCCAAATAGTTTAATTACTCTCTTGAAAGAAGAGAAGGTATGTTTGTTTTTAGTACCTTTTCGCAATTTTTATTTGCTTTGCTGTTCCGTTTTGAGTTATCTGCATTCAAATCTATATCTGGTATATTTTTTAAAAAACAGAAAATAGTTATACTATAATTTTTACCTGAAAAGTAAGATGAAAATTTCATTTCACTGTATATATGCATTTTAGCACTTTGAAAATTATTCAAAAATGTAAACACTTTATGAAAATATTAGACTTCAAAATATTTTATGTTTACTTCTGAAATAATATAATATTTTATTCTTTCATAGGCCTTGAATGATGAAATAAATGTTCAGAAAAATAGAGTTCGTGATTCTATAGCAGCTGCTAAGAAACTAATGCGAGAATCTTCATCTGAAGATTTATCTTTCATCCATGAAAAGATTGAAACTCTAAAAAATCAATCAAATAATGTTTCTTTGTTGTGCCAAGAAAGACTGAGTGCTTTAGAACAAGCTGTTCCCCTAGCACAACACTTTTTTGAAACTCATACTGACCTTGGACAGTGGCTAGATGAAGCAGAGAGTGAAGCTGAATTGTTAGAAGCTCCAGCTCTGAATTCGCATCAAATAAAGAAACAGCAAGATCGAAATAAGGTTTGTTATTGAAATTTTATTTTTATACTGTGCTTCATATTATCATCATGTGTTAATGTTTAAATCTAATCAAACTGAGAATTTTTTTATCTTTTCTGAATTCCTATTATGTTATAGTTAAAAAATAACATTCTTCAAAATTACTTCGATCTTAATTTGCATAATTTATATACTTTTTTTAATTGTTTTATTTTTCAAATTATAACCATTGTTTAACATTTATTTTTAGGGGTTGATTCAAGAAGTACAAGAGCATAAACCTCTTGTTGATAAGTTAAATAAAACGGGATCTGCGCTGACTAAGCTTTGTAGAGATGAGGAATCGGATAAGCTGGAAGGCATTCTGGAATCTGATAACAGTCGCTATAATGCTTTACGAAAGATTTTACGGGAACACCAAAATGCTCTTGAAGAAGCTCTTCAAGCAACTTCCCAAGTAAGTATATAATTTAATTCTATTTATTTTTCTTTTCTTTTATTTATTTTTTTATTTATTGGCTAAAATTCTTTGTCATACTAAGTTCCATTTCATCAGTACCATTGCACAGAAATTGATTGTTAGTAAAATTAGTCCTTATGTAATGGTACTGTGTTACACTGATAATGTCTTAACATTTGGTTTCATTTACAATGTTGAGAGCTGTTTGTAATATTTAATAGAGTTTTGTGCAATAGCAATGGTATGGCTTTGCACATTTCATTAGTTTACTGATGAGAACAGTTCCAAGAGCTGTGAGAAAGTGACATGGAGTTTGAAACTGCTAAACTAAGCTAAGACTTTGAAATTGTTTATTGAAGATAACAATAAATAGCTGAATATGTTTCAAAACTTTCAATTATTGCATTGACCGAATATTTTTCTTTTCAAAGGTGTTGTGTAAATGTCCTTTGTTTATATACTTTAGTTAATTTTGTGTGACTGACGTACTTTTGACTGGCATACATATACAGTTTAGGAACTTTCTAGAAAATTTTCATATTGAGTATGTCAGTTATGCTTTACAATTTGGGATTGTTTTAAGTCAATCTCATTTTTATTGAGCTATAATTGAATGACTGTAATGCATTTCTAAGATATATGTACTTTGGCTTCCAGAAGTTAAGCATGCAGTGCAAATTAGCAGTTTTTGAAAGTATAGGTTAATTTTGCTGAAAGTCTCTGTGTATGCAAATCACAGTATTGAAATATCGTGTTACAGCCAATCACTGTCCAAATATATGCTAATAAGCAGTCGCTGAAGATGCCAGCATTCCAAAGGATTTGAGGAAGTTCATTTAAATGCTATTTGGTAGGATAATTTTTGATATTTATGTTGACAATCTATCAAAGATGTTTCTCGTTTCTTTGTCATTGATCAATTTATGATTTCTTGAATGTGAAAACAATTTCAAACAAGTCAAACAGCAATTTGGAGACCTATGCCCAATTAATCAAGAGTGACGTCTGAAGATCGGTATATTGCTGTAGCACCCAAGCAGAATCGAACAATGACTTTTATAAGCGTTATGTTGATGGTTACAGCATCACTTGGAAAGACAATATCTGCCAGTACTTTGCACCAAAGGCTTCACATAAAAGGATAGTATGCCTGAGTGTCAAGTGTATTTCATTGCACATGCAATCCAGAGGGTCAAGATTGAAGTGGTAATATCAACATCCCAACTGGACTGAAAAAACATTAAAATGAAAAATATGAGAATTATGGAAAAGCATTTTACTTTTAATTAAAGTCTTCTGTCTTGGATTAGGGACTACTGAAATTCAAGGTTTATAATTAAATTACTTACAAAACTGTGCACAAAAGAACAACATAATGTAGAATAATAGTTTTTAAAAAGTGTCTAATGTGTCCCTGAAGTGTTTAAAGAACACAGTAAATTACAGGCTAGTTCAAGTCTGGTACAATTCTGGTTCTGGTATGAATTTGCCTCTTCAATATGCCTCTTAATATGGAAGAATTTAAGTAATATATGACATTTTCTGTACTGTGTAAACCACTATGAAAGAGATCACTTTACACTCTGCAGGCAGCAGGTACTTGTCTGATTGTTACACAGCATACATTAAAATCATACCGTATTTGAATTGCTTTTTTATAGCTTCTTAAATTTTTATCTTGCTTTAAATGGCGATTAAATGATTCCATATGTTGTCTTTCAAAATGCTGCTTTAGGTAATTTTCAAATGAATTTAACTGTATTATTTGCAAAGATATTAGTTTCATATTTTTTAGAATTCATGTATCACACGGTATGTTGGAAATCATTTGGCAGGCTTTATTCTGAAGATAAATGGAGGCAGAAGCTTCTGCAGTAAATTTTACAGTAATTCAAAAGCAACACCAAAAGTCATGCATTGACACACTTTACCATAACAGAGAATCTGTGCTCTTCATATCTTTATGATATATGTCATGTATGAATCAGTGGACTGTGCACTTCATTTCGTACATAGAAAAATATGAAATTGGAAGCCTTCACAAATACTGTACAAATTCAAAGATCTGAAAGCATCAGGACTGAATCTAGACTTCAGAAATTTCCAATTATTAGATCATTTTAAATGTAGTAAAGTATCATGTAGAAATTTCATGATGAAATAATAGAAGCATTCATGACTTTAAGAGAATTAAAATTTGCAGTAAAATCTCAGTATTTAGTTATTTGTTTTAATAAATATTTCTTTTAATATAAGTTGTTTAAGCTGTTTTATTTTATTTAATTATTTTTTTGTGTGTGTGCTACTTTCCCTTTAGTTTTATAGACAGACATAATTTCTTTTTCAGTTAGAAAATTCCATTGTTCAAGTTCTGTAACTGCCATGTCAAAAATTCCCAATAAATAAAATTTCCACTTGAAAGCTTTACATTCTCAAAAATATTTTTATCACTTTCACCACTGCTGGTAGTGGTGAAAGTGATAAATGTTCACAGTTGTTGGTTATCGATATATACTTTTATCAAAAAAAATGTTTTAAACCATGCAGATATCCATGTTTTGAAATTTTTAAGGTACAAAATCTAACTTTTTATATATTGTTTCGGCTCTTTATGCTTAGGAAAGTTTTGCACTCATTACAAAAAATAAAGAATGAGAAGTTTACATGTTACAAGTCCTGTACAACAAAAACTGAGCAAGATGTTTAATTTCAAAATTTGTGATTTTTTATGTCATATTCAATTTGGACAGAGGGGTCAAGTAGTAGCTAAATTAGAATAGTTTGATGTTGATTGAAATGAGAGAAAAGTTTTTTCATCCTCTCATTAATGTGTACTTTTTTAAGAAGTGCAGTATTTTCAATTTCAGTGTGTCTATTATTTTTCCAATGAATACCTGTGATATGTAACAATGCTGGCACTGTCTTGGTACCAAAGCAACAATGAAAAATTCATTATAAACATAGATTACATAAAAAGTAATTAAATGTATTTGTCATTAAATTTAATGCATAGTAAGTAGGGTTTCTTTCCTTTTCTACAATGCTTACAAACATTTAGTATAATAGTGTTTTATATACTGCCATTTGTGCAAGACTATAAAACATATTCCTTTCTTCACAGATAATATGCGTCTTACGATACCTATTTTATTCAGGTGCATTTTATGGTGTGCAGTTAATAGAGTTGTTAAATAAAATCAATTATCACTTTGAATTTTCATTTCACTTTTGTATAACTGGCTGGTATAATGAATTTTGATTTTATTTCCTATTCAAATATTTCAAAATTTTAGATAAAAATAACACTAGAGCATGCTATATTTTAATGCTGAAAGTAAATGGTAAAAAATTAGAGGTTCCTGCATCTTCTATCTATGTTTAAGGACAAATAAGTAACTATAATCATTTTCTCTTGAAAAAAATAATTGCATTCTGTTAAAAGTACTTTTTGATACCGTGAGTGAAATATAAGAATTTATATGTGAACAGATAAAGAGTAGCCAGGGCAGCTGTCCTAAAGAAGCTGAAAGCAACATTGTAGATTCCTGTTATCTAGTGAATCTTAATTTGAAAGATTGTAAGATAATAATGAGAAGGGGGAGGATCATCCGCTTTTCCAATTTTAGTCATTAATGCCCATAGGATTTACATGTCCTTATATGTGTTCGATAACATCTTAGTTCCCCCTCCCCATAAGCTAATATTAATTAAAAATTAAACATCATGCATCTCGATGTTTTTCTAAATTGAATTTTCAAAAAGAATTACAAATAATGGAAAAAGTACTGCATATATTAGCTTCATGATATGGTAAATATTTGTATTAATAATCATAGCATGCTGTATATTCCCAGTAATGGATAATTAGACATCCATGTGACTTAGTGCTAAAACTAGGCAGCACACACAAGTTCCCACACATAGGATACGTTAAGGTTTGCAATCTTTAACAGAGTGGATAAAACTATTATATCTAAATATCCTAGCAAACTGTTAAGAATATTTAAATGTTTTTCTCGAATTTGCTATTCGTAACTGCTATATAGTCTAAAGTGTGCAGCTCTATACTAATACAGGTTATAAAATTCAGTTTCTTAAATGTTTAGCTGTAGTACTGTTACTGCTATTAAATATTTCTCTGCATAACATATTTTGATCGATAAAGCAAATTTTAGCATTATCTGCATGTGTAGTCAGCATTCTCTTTTTATAGTAAACAAATGTCTGGAATCGGTAAATGACACTATTTAGCTAGATCATTATTATTATATGTTATTATTGTCTTTTAAAATGAGTTTCAAGTTTATGTGGTTAAAATGGGTAACAAATTTATTTATTCATAGCTTTTCAAATGTTGAGTTCCAACTTAAATGCATCTCATAGCTGGTTATACTGCACGCAACTAGCAAATTTTATTATATTGGCATGGAAGTAGAAATAAAAGAGGTAGAGAATTTTCTGGCATTGAAAATAGAAAATGCATTGGTAGAGAAATAAAAAACAAGGAAATGTTCATTTTATAAAATGGAAATTTCAATCTCAACACTTTTATAGATGTTATGAATCCACTTGCACACATGATGAATGAAGAGGTGGAAATAGTGTCGAAATTCAATTTAGGGAAATTCGTACTCTCAGGGTTCTCATAAACAGCATATTTATGTATTTCTCTATCATTTTAAAGCGTAAAAATTGCCAAGAAAATAGATATTTTTTTAATGTGGGTATACAATTTTTTTACATTAAGTTCCTTGTTTTAGTTACTCTTTTTACTTGAAAACAGTTCAGATTAAATGTAAAAATTCAAAGGGAAAAATATAGATAAAACTGGAATATACATGATCTATAATCTGAAAAATTCACTAATTTGCATAATTTGGATCCTGAGGTATGCCGATTGGTGAAATTTCACTCCATTTTAAGAAATTCTATCAGTTTAGTTGGTATAATTCATCTATATCTGGTTATTTAGCTAATTAGGCGAGAGCTAAATTTAAATTCTTACTGAACTGAAGTAGTTAGGTTCTATTGATTGGCATTTGCTGTGCTATTTAATACACAATTAGTCACTTATTTGCATTTAATAATATAACACCTAAATATAAATTTTTTTAATAGTTTTTTTAATTGTATTATAGTCTCTAAAATTTTGTTATTTACAGTTGTATATTTTATACATTTTTCCAGTTTTCTGACAAATTAGAGGGAATGTTAAGTGCACTGACATCTACAGCTGACCAACTGCATAATGCTGAACCCATATCAGCACATCCTGAGCGGATACAGGAGCAAATCAATGATAACAAAGCTGTTCTTCAAGATCTTGATAAACGAACCATAACTCTTGAAGCTGTGAAAAAGGCTGCTGATGATGTAATTGTGAAAGCTAGTGCCATTGATGAACCGGCAGTTCGAGGTATGTTTCCATAAGCTGCATTTATTTTCTTGTAAAATATTACAAATATCTGCAGTGTTTTAGTAGCCTGACTTACTGGATTAATTTTTCATTTGAGCTGTCCAGCCAATAGTGGTTAGTGACTCTCAATGCTGTAATGATTGGTCAAGGTTTGAATCCTGGAGAAAGCATGGTTGTAATTGTCTGTTTCTTCATAGAAGGCAACAGTAGCCACCTAATAGGTGTCTCCATAATGAAGTGGCCTCCACTTCTGACCCTTGTAATGGTGCAAGACTGATGGATGTTAAATAAAGTGCCCAGCTATTTAAAAAAATTAATTTGAAACTTCTATTAATTTTACTTCTTTTAGAAACTTTTAAATCTTTTAGAGAATACCATAATTTCATATATGCTTGCCTCCTATTAAATTTTGAGTAAATACGAAGTATTACTTTTTCCTGGTAAATTACTGGCTATAATTACTTTGTAAAATGATGTGGAATTTAATTTTTTATGCTACTTACCCATCATCTGTACTCACTCATGTGGTTCACAGTGCCAACCTACCCTTTCGGTTTTTCATGTTTGTTATTCATGTGGCATTATTTATCATTCTAACCCAAACCAACAATTGCTCTTCTCTTCTCCTGCAATGTTTTATAGTGTGCAGTTTTTGGACACTTTGATTTACATTTTCTCTTAGTTCTATATATTAGTGTTACTATTTTTTGTGACAATTTTTCAGTATTTCAGCTTTTATTTTTTATACATTTGATGCTTCCATGTTGATATAGTTTCTCCTCTGCAAAGTTATGCATCTGAAAAATTTGTAGTGTCTTTACAAAGCTTTTGCAATAATGGCAAGATCTAATTGTTGTATGAAATCTACAGGTAATACAGATGTTCACAATAATTGAAACACCTAAAAAAGTTGAAAATTTGTATAGGTGGTATAGGCATCACCTATACCAAGGAGGTATAGATGGATAGATACCTTAATGTGCTGTAAGAGCACCTCTGACATCTGAAATGCTTGAATTCTTTTGAAATGGAGCTGTGAATGGTTGTAATAAATTTTTATATCATTTTTCTACCAGAAACAGGTCCAATTCTTTTAGAGATGCTGGAGAAAGAAAATGGGATCTCCCTGTGTTTTCTAGCACAGACTACAGAGGTTGAATGATATAGTCGGGTGATTGTATAGGTCAGGAAAGATGTGTAACTTTATCTTCATGTTCTTCGAACCATGACTAATGGGGGCAACTGTATGCATTTACCCATGTGAAATAGAGTCTTTACCACTGAATTAATGCATTGTTTAAAATGGTTACTGTTAGTTTGGTACATTTATATTTACCGTATTGGCAACACCTAGTCTCTTCTCTGTGTGCGAGCTATGGTTGCCGATGTAATGTTCTGCATGTGTTGTTAAGTTTCAATAAAAAAATGTGAAAAGATACGTTTCTTATTTTTCGATTTGCTTCTTCATATGATATCGATTTATTTAACACGGTAGCAGTTCTCGTGGTTTGTGAATATGAATAAAGAATTTAGTAGTTATAATTTGTTTTTAAAGTTACCGATACTAGCGTAAAAATGGCATGTACAAGAAGCAGCGATATCGGCATACCGCTATTTGATGGTTCGGACTATTTTAATTCGAAAGTGCGTATGATGAAATTTCTTCAATTTAAAAAGTGTAAAGATGTGGTTCAGTGAAAAGTCAGTGAAAACGATGATGTGGAAAAATGGGAAGAAAAGGATATACAAGCTACAAATTACATTTACGGCGCCATAACAAACAAGCAATTGGAATACATTCACGAGTGTGAGACTGCATTTGATATAATTACGAAATTTGATGCAATGTATTTAAAAACTTCAACATCTCTACAAATTGTTTGTAGAAATAACTTAGAATGTGTGAAACTGAAAAATTATCCTGATGTAAATATATTTTTGATGATTTTGAGAAGTATGTGAACGAACTGAAACATGCCGGCGCCACCATGACGGAACAACAAGAAAAATTGAACTATATGCTAAGGCATTGCCTTCAAATTACAGTCACATGGTGACTTAGTAGATATATTACCAGAGAAGACAGACAGAACAGTCGATACCTAAAGAGCAAAATCAAATCAAAATTACTTAAAGAGAAAAATGATTATGAAGATTGTGCACCAGCAGAAAAAATCAAATGTGTTCAAAATCGAAACAAGCAAATCGCGTCCCAAGGGAAGTCTGTTATAATTGTGGAAAACCTGGTCACATTAAAAAGAATTGTTGGCATGTCCATCAAAGGAACTATCATTGTAATGGCTCCACTAATTATCGCGGTCGAAGTTCTTCAAACAAACGAGGACGTAGTCGTGCTTTTAGTGGACATCGTGAACGTGGAGCATACTCTAACCAGAGAATAAACACTCATCAAGGCAATAATTTTCACACCACTGTTATTGAAAGTAACATGACAAGTTCCAGTGCAAATACTGTGACGAATAAAAATGAAATCGATTGGTTACTGGATAGCGGATGCACACACCACATTATAAACAGTGATGAATATTTCAAAGAGCAAGTCATTTTGAAGAATCCTATTCAAGTGAAAGTCAGTGACGGAAGGATTTTGAAAGCTACAAAGGTTGACAATAAATAGTTTCTTTTCCTGTACATAACTCTGAATCTATTGTAACATTGAAGAATGTATTTTATGTAAAAGAAATGAAGCAAATTTATTAAGTTATTCGAAGATTACTGATAATCATAAAATAGTTCAAAAGAAAAGTTTTCTAAAATATTATGATGTCAATGGTTCATTAGTAGCAATAGCGAAGAAGGAAGAAAGATAATATAAAGTAAAGAGTTATGTTAAAAATAGTAAAATGTTTGCAAATTTGACCAACAGTAAATTAATGTTAAAAGAAAAATTGCACCGTTAACTTGGACATGTAAATTTTAAATATCTGGATATTATGTGCAAAGATCAAACTATTAGAAGGAATCCTATATAGAAATAGAAATAAAAACCAAATATATGAAGTGTGCCATATGTACTGAAAATAAAATGTACAATTTACCATTCAAGAATAATAGAAAAAAAGCAGAAGATATTCTGGAGATTATACATACAGATGTAAATGGACCCCACAGATCAAGTGGATGTAATGGTAAGAAATACTTTGTGAGTTTTATTGATGATTATAGCAGGTTGGCAAAAGTTTATTGTATCAAATCTAAGGATCAAGTCTCTGATTGCTTAATTGAATATGTAATGGAAATTCAAAATTTAACAGGGGAAGACTATGAACAAACAGGGAAGATGATCAAAGAACTAAGATGTGATAATGGCAGTGAATATATGAATAGAAAGATATGCATACAAATCTGCAAGAGAAAAAGGTATCAAGATAAAGTCATGCCCACCACATGTATATGAATTAGATGGTACTACTGAGCGTTACAACAGAACTATAATGGATATGGCAAGATGTCTTTTAACTGAAGCAAAAGTTGACAGATGTTACAGGCCTGAAGTAATTAAAGCTGCTGCTTATTTGAAACAGGACATAAACAAATACTGTTGCAAAGAAGACACCATATAAAATATTTTTTAATAGGGAAACCATCTGCAAATGAATTGAAATCATATGAAAGTAGAGTGTATGTAAGAATACTAGAAGGAAAGAGAAAGTCTAAGTGGGATAAAAAGGCTGATTTGGAATTTTATTGGGTATCAGAAGTTGGATATAGGTTTGATGAATAACAGAATAATAGTTGCCAGACATGTTGATATTATTGAAGAAGACATAATGTGTGTAGGTTGTGATGATGAAGATAAGAAGATGATACAAATAAGAAGAATGAACCTCAAGAATGTCGTGGAATCGAGTAATGATAACTCCAAGGACAGTGTGATAAATGAAGATGAAACAAAAAGCGGAATGACACCAAGAAGGCAAATCAAACCACCAGTTCAATTTGATAAAGAATTCAGGTACTACTGTGTTAGTGCAAATTTTTGTGATGGTACAGTTCCAGGTAACTTTGAAGAGGCGACCAACACGCAGCGAGGCTGCACATTGGAAAGAGGCAATGGACAGTGAAATGAACAGTCTTGTCAAAAAACAACACTTGGACACTAGTGACTAAAACAGAGGATAAAGCAATTCTAGATGTGAAGTGGGTATTCAAAACAAAACCAGGTAATGTTTTTAAAGTTAGATTCCAGAGAAAATTCCAGCATCCGTGAGGATTCCAACAAAAAGACACTATTGAGGATACTTACTCCCCTGTCATTAAGATGCAAACCTTAAAATGTTACTCATATTCCTGTCATATAATTTAAATATATCAAATGGATGTTGAGACTGCCTTTTAAAATGGTTATGTTGTGTCTGAGGTTTATGTAAAACAGCCACAAGGCTATAACATAATTCGAATAGAGTGTATAAATTAAAGAAAGCATATATAGGTTGAAAAGAAAGCCCTCGTGCTTGGTATGAGTGCTTTAAGAGTATATTGAGAGTCTAGGATTTCGTAGAAGTAAATATATTATTGTCTTAGTAAAATCTGAATGATGTATTTGTATATATTCTTTTATTGTTGATGATTGTTGATATGTTGCAGAGATACTCAGGTAATTAATGAATTAAGGAACACTTCATAAAAAAATTCAAATGAAGGATTTAAAAAGTAAAATGATACATGGAATTGATATTGAATATGATAAGAGAAAAGTAATATCTTAACATTGAGTCAGGAAAATTATATCGAATCTTTAGCTAAACTGTATGGTATTGAAAATTCAAAGCCTTATGATAGACCAATTGAGATTAATCTTTAACTAAGCCAATCTAATTTAAATCAAAATATCAAATATAGGAATCTAATAGGAGCACTCTTGTATGTTAGTCATGCTACTAGACAGACATATCTTTCAACGTAAATTATCTAAGTAGATTTCAAAATTGTTATGATGAGATTTTTACGTTTCTAATATACTTTAAGAGTTTTAAAAT